TTACCTAATTCTGATGCCACAAAATCCCACACAGACCAATTTAAATTAGAGATTTACAGTCTCTTTTCTACCACAGCTGATAACGTGCTGCATATAATCATTGCCTTCTTTCATTTCATGTTAAGACAAATAGAATAAACATCATTTTATTTGAAGAAGGATATTTGCTGAAACTGTCAAGTTTGATGGACTCACTTCAAATTTGCATGAAGTTAGTACATGGCCCTGAGCACAGCAAGCATTTCACAGAAAACCGTAAGAGGAATAGTTTTTGCTTGTGACTATAGCCAAGTGTGTGCCTACTCTTCAGCTTTTCTTTTCCTGATGAGAGGTGTAATTGGATGCTGGGGCATCACACAGTATGAGCAATGGGACTTCAGAAGTATCAAGCTAGGTGTGAATAAACACTACACACCAGTAGCCTCATGTCTTTAAAGTCTTAAATGCAAAGTTTAAGCAGGCAAGTGCTCAGTGATTTCATATAATCACATAATCATATACTAATAGAATGGCTTGGGTAGAAAGGGAACTTAAAGATTGTCCAGTTCCCACCCCCCCACCATAGACAGGGGCATCTTCCACTTGATCAGGTTGCTCAGGACGATATCTGTAGGAGCAGCTGGATGGACAACACCAGCCACCTGGATGATAAAAGAAGAAGGAAATACTAAAGCAAAAATATTGTGGTTCTCAGAGAGCCAGAGCTAAGATTAGTGTGTATGTGAAAAGAATCACAAGGTCAAGCTGAAAAGCCACTTGAAGCATGGTTGTTCTCTGCGGCTGGAAGCAGTCACAGAGTGTGATATGTGGGGAGATAAGGAAACATCTTGCTGGTTGGAGAGCTCGGACACAGGCTTGGTAGAGAGTCTGTATATAGAAATGGAGTAATAAAGTTACAAGAGAGTTCTTCCTGGAAAAAGTCTGCCTCCCATGGATTCATTTGCCGCAAACAGTGCAGAGTGAGGGACCTTTTTTCTACAGATATCCAGCCTGGACTTAAACACTTCCAGGGAAGAGATATCCACAGCTTCTCTGGGCTGTCTATTCCAGTGCCTCACAACTTGCACAGTAAAGAATTTCTTCCTAACATCTAATCTAAAACTCCTCTCAAGTTCAAAACAGTTCCCCCTTGTCCTATCACTATCTGCCTGTGTAAAAAGCCACTCTTCCTCTTTTTTGTAACCCCCCTTCAAGTACGGGAAGGCTGCAATGAGGTCTTCCCTGAGCCTTCTCCGGGCTGAACAACCCCAGCTCCCTCAGCCTGTTTTCATAGAAGAGATGCTCCAGCCCTCTGAGCATGTTTGCAGCCTCTGGACCCATTGCAGCAGGTCCATGTCTTTCTTGTGCTGAGGACTCTAGACCTGGTCGCAACATTGCAGTTGAGGTCTCGCAACGGCTGAGTAGAGGAGGAGAATCACCTCCCTTAATGTGGAGGACACAGAATCGGACTGGGAAAGATTTCGAGCATGGAGAAGAATTTATGATGGTTGAGAAGAATTTATTGTATGGACTTTCAAAGTTTCAATGGGATTTAAAAACTGTTAATATAACACCCCACTCATGTGCATTGTTTGGGCATGTCCAGGCTTACCCTGAGTTTTTTGCTCCCTGCTTCCCTGCTCCTCCCTCTGATTGGCTGGAATATGCCGCAGTGTGGAGTGAGCTCCCATTGGTCCTCGGTCTTCCCCAGCTCCTCCCAAATTCCTCCCTCTTCTCCCAAGTTCTCTCCTTCATTTGTTCCCCTGGTTGTCTATCCTATGCTCCTCCCAGTTTTCCGGCACCTTCTACCCAAACCCTATATAAACCCATGTTCACCCTCAATAAAGAGAGATAGCTTCAACCTTCTACCTTGTGTTGTGACCCTTATTGCTGTCTCGGTCCTTTTCCTTCCCCTCAGACCGTGGCACCTTGACTTGCTGGCCACCCCTCTTTAGATACAGCACAGGATGCAGTTTTCATAGCACAGGATGTGGTTGGCCTTCTGGGCTGCAAGTGCACATTGCTGGGTATATCCAGCCATTGGTCCATCAGAAACCCCAAGTCTTTCTGCAGGTCTGCTCTCAAAACGTTTTTCTCCCAGTCTGGACTCATGTCTGGGATTGCCCTGACCCAGATAAGCACCTTGCACTTGGAGTTGTTGAACCTCATACTGTTCTCCTGGGTGCATTTCTCAAGTCTGTCCACATCCCTATGGATGGCATATTTCACTGTATCCTGTTGTTATCATTAGGGCTAGTCAATGGTGTGATGCACAACTCTCAGCCAGAAATTGGTAATGCCACATCCTGTCTCTGTTCATAGACTCTCATGGCAGCTTTCCAAAGTTTTCTCTTAGTTCAGTGAATACTTTTTTGTTGTTGTTTTCTGCCTTCTGTATGCAGTGGCTTGCCGCATCCAGCACTTCCGCACTTGCAGTGGTGCAGGCAACATTGCTGTTTTTCTCAAGAAACCTTCCCTTGTGGTCCTGTCATGGTCTGGAAAGCTTTATGAAGCAGATCTCATCCTCATCAGAACATGTGTCATCACTATACCCATTATATGATAGTGAAAGTGATGTGGACCATTAAGAGTCCCATTTCCAGTGGTTTCCCTTCCCTTCCCTTCCCTTCCCTTCCCTTCCCTTCCCTTCCCTTCCCTTCCCTTCCCTTCCCTTCCCTTCCCTTCCCTTCCCTTCCCTTCCCTTCCCTTCCCTTCCCTTCCCTTCCCTTCCTTTCCCTTCCCTCTGGCTTGATGCACAGGGTCACTAGCTGACACCCAAGTCCACTCTTCCTCCCACGTGGCATTGCTCACTCTGCTCCAGGGCTGGCTTCCTTCTCTTTCTCAACAACAGCAAAGCATGGCAAGTAAACATGCTTGTAGCCATAGCTGCTTGGTCTTGGAAGTCATTCCTTATTTTCCTTCCTTTCCTCAAAGGCACCTCTTGCGACTCGCCCCAGAAAGGGGAGGACAACCCAGGTTCTTATTAATAAATCCCTTGGGGTGGATTAGGGTGAAATAACATCGAATAATCAGTGTTTGTAAACACATGCATGTAGGGTTTGTTTTGGAACAATTTTGTTGCAAAGGTAAACAAGCTGTTCTGGGTGTTATCATCTATAGCAATATAGCAACATTAGAGCATAGGAATATAGCACTATTAAAGCATAGCAATATTAAAGCATAGCAATATGGCATTATTAAAACATAAAGATAACACTTAAGGAAATGCATAAGGGAGAGAAAGGGAAAGAAAGGATAAGGGTGGAAAGATATGTACAGTCACTGTCCACTATATCCAGCGATGAAAGTTGGTAGTTGCACCTTCAACGTTTGTTGATTGAAGTGATGATCTTGCTCTGTTGGGGCTGGGGGAAGCCCCCAACAAAACTGAAAGATGTTATGAGTTATTACACACTTCTAGCTCAGGTGGGAACACCTTGTGGCATCCCCAGGGTGGGGAGTTTTTCAGTGGATAGTGTCATGGGACATGTCACTGAGTCTTCAACATCGCCTAAGACAGTTGCAGCTACAGCATCAATCATGGTCCATCATGGTCTGACATTTGAGATGCATAGCCCAGGCTAGATGCGCAGAGTTATCATGTAAAGGGAGGACATTGGCATGATAAGAGGGATTTCTCACACCTTGCAGGATTTGCCTCTTAGCCTCTTTCCTTACCTGGAAATCCAGTTTGTAGTGTCAGGTGTGCATCTGCACCCAGGAGAGTTGGACAGTGGCACCCACTTATCTGATCTGAAGGTCCTTTGGCAGTATTCAGGGAGGGGTGGGCTTTGTTGCATCTTTTCAGTGTGTGAAATTCTTTTGGTGATCTTAGAATGTGTAAGTCATTAACTCTTTCAGTCTCTAACAGCACCCATGACTGTGCTAACAGGCATCTTCCCAAATCCCTGAATTCTGGTTAATGACAGAACTTCTCCTCTTTTTTCCTAGGTGGCTTTGTGCAAGAAATTCCCATGGAGAGCTCTCTGTCTGTCACCAAGTCTAAAGGAAGTGTACGCCTGGAATGTCGTTTTAAAGGCAACTCTAAAGATTTTGGTCACACCACCATGACAATGTTTGTTATCAAAAGAAGGCAAAAAAAGCTTCAGATAGGATTTTCTGCTTCTCAGGTGTAAAAGTAGTAAATGATGGCTTCCAGGCATACAGGTACATGACTGAAAACAATTCTAACCAGAAACTGTGTGTTCTTACAATAGACGATGTCGTTCCAGATGACATTGCTACTGACTATTGCCCCCACTGTTACAGTCACTGTAGTAGAAATTCAGACATCAGAGACTCCCTCAGCGTCTCAACAACAAATAACTTGAAAGATCCCGGTGTGCTTCCTTTGGTGTGGATGAACCATCTGGTGCAGATGCAGGCTGTGGAATAACAGGATACAGTCAGTGCTGACTGATGCCTTGAAAGCATCAGCTGTCGAAAGCTCAAGATTTTGACTTAGCAAGGGCAAATGGAACAGTAAAGGTTCAATACCTAATCCATCCTCTCCATTCCAGATTCTTCTCCTTATCACTCAGTCATATCAGTGATCTGGTTGTAAGGGTTTATTTAATGGAAAAGGGCATTTTTCCATATTGTTGTTCCTGAAAATGGGCTAGCATGTTGTACTGTGGCTCTTCAAAGAATTTGGCCTGACAAAGAAAATTGAAATAGAGAGCTTTAGCCTGAAGGTTCTTAAAAATTTTAAGCAAAGGAAAAGGAGAGTTCTTTTAATTTGCAAGTCAGCAGTTGTCAGAGGAGGAAGATTTTCTATTTATTGACTGAGATCTGGAGGTGGGCATTTTTGTTCTCTTTTTTGGGAGCTGTATCATTCCCTTTCCCCATGTTCTTGCTTATCACTATCTGTGTTTCACTGGTGTTGGATCTGAATCATCCAAAAGATTGGAGACAGAGTTAGCAAAGTTAGGAGAAAACAAACAAGGCTTTCCATAGTTAAAACCAACTTTTCCTACTTGTGTTTCATATGCAATGCATCCATCCTACTTACTACCTCAAGGTGCATGCTGACCGTAATGCCTGAGAAATCAATCCATAGAGCTTTTGCTCTACCATCAAGCCTCTCCCTCATAGTCTCCTTTTACTGTGAGACCCTGAAAGTCTTCTCTCCTGGTTCATTGAAGTGCAACTCCTTAAAGAATATTAGTCTGATGGGATGAAAAAGTGACATAATTTCAAATGTGTATTAGGTCTCCAAATGACTGTAAGTCAGTTTTATACTGCTCATACTTACAAGCCCAGATCATACAGGGGAGTTGACAAGCTATCTGCAATATGAAGTGTTTCACTTTGATTCTTCAAATAAGACCTTCCAGCTACTCACTGTCATCAACATAAATCCCATAGCGCCTGCAACTGCAGGTGATATGGTGGTGGTCTCCTTCACTGTGTGTCTAAGGACGTGGCAGGAAAAGCACCGGTTGGCACCATTCTCTGTCTACGTCATTCCTGCCCTTGCTTTGTATTGTGATTAGGATGTTCCTGTCCAGAAGACTTCAGTGTAGACCACTGCTTTTTTTTACACCTACTTCAGCTGAAAGACCTTCACCCTCTAGTTCCTCCCTCTAGCCTCAAATAGTAATTTCTCAACATAGCTTTGCAGTCAGTATGCCACAAGAGATCTCAGAAATACTCTAACTCAGTTTATTTTAAATGCCAAACTAAGCATGCAGGCTGTTTGATTGGCAGAAGTGGTAACTCCTCTGATGTTATCTTAGACTGTTTTATAAGAAACCTCTGCACAAAAGCGTCCTTCTCCCACCAGCTAGTATATGAAAAGCTGCCAGTGAGTTGCTGTAGCAGAGTCTGGAGGGATTCCAAGAGATGGGCAGGCAATAACCATGTCCTGAGGGCAGAAAACACAACCTGCAGCATACAGACACCTTCACAATGCTTTTGATGCTCTCTCTCCCTCCTTTCCCTCTGCTGAACTGTATTCAGACAAAGAAAAATGAACTCCATGCTAGTAGTACTTGGTGTCACTTAATTGCAAGTGAGAAGGGGTGTAACGCTTTGGGAAAGAGCTGGATTTTCACCTGAAGGTATGTGGATTTTTACATGCAGATCTCTGTGTACCTATTTGTGTGTCTAAAATTGAAGAAGAACCTTCATCTAATTCTAAGGCATTAAGAGGAGGGGTTATCTTACAAATTTGCAACACTTCAGGAAAGAGATTTGCTCTGAAGGCTTTAGACGTCAGCTGAACATCCAGATACAAGTCTGAAATTCCTGACAACAGCCAAGGGCCAGGCCTTCATGCAGACTCCCAGGGATAATGGGGAAAAAAAATGGGATTTTCTTCATCAATGGTATGTCAAGAGAGCATGGTAGCTTATTGCAAAGTCAAAACATGGTGTGGAGCACCTGGATCAAATACTTTGGCATGGGAACAAAGCTTATTGTCTCTAGTAAGTACCATTATCATTTTCACAGAATCATTCAGATTCTCAGACAATTAAAAATGAAAGACTGTAGGAAAATTAATTTCTCCCTGATAAATTGTGGGTTTTTGTTAACTGTGCATTGTGCCTCAGTTGGGTGGGTTGATGATCAATAAATATATCAACCTCGTTAATATAGATTACCTCTAGAACAAGTGCTGAATATATATAAAGGATGGGGGAATGGAAAAATAAGGAGGGGTAAAAATTTAAATATTGCAATGGATTAATTTCTGGTTTGGGAATCTTCTTGACGGTTTACTCTCAGAACAGCAAGTGTGAGATGCAAAAAGGTTTTGATTGATAGAAGTTGTCCAGTCTAAACTGACTGGGAAGAAAAATTCCCTGAATGTAATAAATAACTAGTTCCTGGCCCTACTGAAAGTAATTTTGTTACTTGTGCATTTGTATTATTCTTAATTGTGGTGAAGCTATGCAATCAATAGGATGAATGCTGGTTTCAGTATAAAGTATATAACAATGCCTACAGTATGTTGCTCAGAAAATACATGACGTTATCAAGGTGACTATAAGTCAAATTGCAAACAGCTGAGGAGAGTTACAGGGAAATTTAAAATGTTATCTATCCATGATTTTGAGAAAAATTTTTCTGAACTTTTTACTCATTACAAAACTTGAAGTATTTCTAAAAATGGTACTCTAGTAAATGTTGAAAATTCAGCTATTGCACTGGGTCAGAGAGACTTTTTCTGTAGCCTATGCAAGAAAAGTGCAGCGCAGGAGATATTGCTAAGCATTATCAGAGTGGGGGATCCTGATGTCAAAATATTTGGAAGTGGAACTGAGCTTATTGTTTCAAGTAAGTACAAAATATAAAACTTAACTACTTCTGAAATGCTTCACAATACAGTTAGATATTGGCTGGCATGAAGTGCTCTGCTATTTTAATTCCCTCTAGATTTAATCCTTCTGAATTCTTTGCAGGATTTCCCCCTGCAAATAGCATTTCCATTTGCAGAACACAATGTAATTGTTTTGTATTTCTGTATTGAAATGGGGGAAATACAACAGCTATTGCAGCATAGATGTATACTAACCCCAGTATTATTTTCTTTGCAAAGATGAATTTAAATATAGCAAAGAAAGCATTTGGAGAATAGAAAGGTGTTTTTGTCTCTAAGTATGCACATTCAACTTTTGTGATATTCCTAATTCATTCTGAAAGAAATGTATCCAACCTTTGTGCTACCCATATTCTTTGAAAAGCAAAACATCTTCCTTTAGGACAGTATCTGACTATACCAAATGAAAGTGTTATCTGAGGCATGCCCAAAACAGTTTTAAAGTAGGCATAGTTGACAGGCTGCTCTCTCTTCCTAGCTTTTGCAGAAACTACTTACTATCAGTTATTACTGCTATTAAGGAAGAATGCCAAGTTCAAAATATTCTGGCATAATTATCAGAACTATTTTGCTTCAAGTAAACTTCAGGTGCTCTGATGCTTGCCTGGGATTTGGCTCAGCTAAGCATCTGAGATGAAAACTGTTTGCCTAATTTTGACCCACTGGTATATCTGGTTAGTGGGAGTTTTGATTCCAATCAATGCAGGGTCTTGCTTCATGTTATGGACAACAAAAATATTGGCTGGTAGTCTCATGCTATGTAGATCTCTGCATAATGCTCACCAGTTCTAGGTCTGATTTTATGGGGGTGTATAAGGAGCAAATTACTTCACCAATATCTGATCAAATAGATCTTCTGCTGATGATGCCCCTTTCCAGAAAGCAGAGATGGAGCCAAGGCGCTCAATCTGCATCATCCACCTACACTTTGAGAAAATTCAAATTAGTTGAAATGAATCCTGTCAATTTAACAACATACCTGCCCTCAAAAAATTACACTTTTTTTTTTTTACTTTATTTTAGGTGAGTGCTCCTTTTTTTACTTCACTGGGGTCTAAAAATTGATTATATAGCAAATCTGATTTTCTTTAAAGAATTCTATTTACCCATGTAAACACAACAGAGCTGCACTGATATTGTAAAGACTTTATTCACTGTGATTGGTTATTACAACAAGGTGTTTGGCTCAGGTACAAAACTCGTTGTGTCAGGTAAGTTGTATGTTATATTCATACAATTCATACAATAAGCTATAGGAACTTGGAGTGGTCATATAGATGTATTATACTGTCTCAGACTTGGCACCATCCTTACACGGGTGACATTCCTACATTGAGCCTTGTGGTATTTGCAATGCAGTCATTTAGGATCACAAATATATCTGGAAAAGAGCTATTTTGAGCCAGTTTTGATCATAGTTAGTTCTCCTAGAATCTGGTGGAAAAAGGTATGTAATAGTTTCCAGACCCCTTGTTCTTTCCTCCAGCTGTACTGAAGGAATTAGCAGGGAATCAAGCAGCTGTGAATTAAGCATTAAAAAAGAAAACCTCATCTTAATACAGATACAAAGAGCAGTATGCAATGGTCATTGCAAAAATTTTTTTTTAGTTAGGCTAGCAAAAGTGAAATAACTTGTCCGTAATTATTTTTCACATATGCTGCGCTTTGGCAGTAGAAATAAATTAATGCCTCCAAATACTCTTCTCATTGCTTAATAACTACTTGATAGCAAAGTTATTAAGTTAATAACAAATTAACTTAATTAATTATTCAGTATTAGTTATGCTGAATTACTGCTTAATAATTGCTTAATGAAGAAATGATCCCTTTTTTACCTTTCCTGCAGAGACACTTATTTTAATGGAAGGTGGAAGAAAAAAATATTTTTTTCCCCCACTAGATGTGCTTAAAATGCCATAATCCTGAAGTAAACAACTACACAGAAACAGAGCAGAGGAACTACTGCTACCAAATGTTTTAAGCCTGGTTAAATACATAAACTTATGTTAGTATATCAAGCAAAGATTGGTTCTAATGATTTATGTCAGAAAGACTAAGTAAATCATACCTATAGTTCAATGGAAACATCTCTGGCATGTTGGTTTTAGTGAAAATCCTTACCTTATTAATCAAGTAATTGCCATGCTTTTTGTATCTACAGTTTAATATATTTTCAAGCATCACTCTAATTCTGTAGGATTTTGTCTCTATGAGGACAAGGATTCTGAATCATTAATAGAGTAAGAGGGTTGTAGTTACTTCACACTTAAGATCATTAAGGAATTGAGAAAACTAGGACTTAGGATAAGGTTTTTTGGGAATGGTATCATTAGCTGAGACTAAATCCAAACATTCTGCATTCGTGTAGCCAAATAGACTCCTACTGTTTGTATGATGGTTGTTAAACATGGTACTTTTCCAGCCAAAATCATAGAATCATAGAATGGCCTGGGCTGGGAGGGACCTTAAAGATCACCTAGTTCAAACCCTGAGTCGTGGGCAGGAACACCTTTCACTAGACCAGGTTGCTCAGAGTTCCGTCCAACCTGGCCTTAAACACTTCCAGAGATGGGGCATCCACAGCTTCTCTGGACAACCTGTTCCAGTGCCTCATTATTCTCACAGTAAAGAATTTTTTTCTACTATCTAATCTATACCTACTCTCTTTTAGTTTGGATCTATTCCCTCTTGTCCTTTCACTACATACTGTAGTAAAAGTCCCTCTCCATCTTTCTTGTGGAATCCCTTCAGGCACTGGAAGGCTGCAATTAGGTCACCCTGAAGCCTTCTCTTCTCCAGCCTGAACAATCTCAGTTCTCTCAGCCTTTCCTCATAGGAGTGGTGCTCCACCCCTGTAATCATCCTGGTGGCCCTCCTTTGGACTCGCTCCTACAGGTCCATGTCCTTTCAGTGCTGAGGACTCCAGAGCTGGACACAGCACTATGGGTGGGGTCTCACCAGAGTGGCTTAGAGGGACAGAATCGCCTCCCTCAACCTGCTGGGCATGCTGCTTTTAATGCAGCCCAGGACACAATTCACTTTCTGGGCTGCAAGTGCACATTGCTGGCTCATGTCCAGCCCCTCATCCATCAGCACCCCCGGATCCTTCTCGGTAGGTCTGCCCTTGATCTGTTCATCCCCCAGCCTGTATTGATACTGGGGGTTACCCTAACACAAGTCCAGCACCTTGCACTTGGTCTTATTAAACTTCATGAGATTCCCATGGGCCCACTTCTTGAGCTTGTCCAGATCCCTCTGGATGGCATTCTATCCTTCAGACAGCAGTTTCTTTAATGGAATGTACCATTGTGGGATGGTATTTGCTATTTAGTTCTGGCACAAAACTTATCGTCTCCAGTAAGTGTTTTCAAAATCTTATGTTTTTAAAGTCCTGTAACGGGAAAGCTTTGGAAGGAGTCAGATGGATTTTTAAGGTACCTGGGGAGGCTCACCATAGGGACTACACACATTATTACCAATTAATATACCTGAAATCTCCATCAAGCAGGACAAGAATGCTGTTTATGAGCTGAGTGTACTGAATGCCCTCAGCTCCCCCTGGCTTGAAGGGGAATAGAGGAGCTTTGAGCATTGGACAAAAATTACTCCATTTTGTAGGATCATCCAAGTAATAAGAATTAAAATTTCAGCTTAAGAACACAGTGACATTATTTATAAATTGTATTTATAGATACTTATAAGGAAACCGTAGAGGAGTTTCATTAAGAAAACTTTTGACAGCTAATCTATAAAAACATCTATTTTGAACTTAAATTTTTAATAACTCATTTATTACAAACCTAACACCAGAATTTTATTTGCATAATGTTTTGCAGTCCCATTCCATTGTTACAAGAGAGAAAAGACAGATTTTAGCTTAAGAAATATGTGTTCATGCTTATATATTATTTGAAAAAGTAAGAGCTATATACCTCTTAAAACCTGCCTTCAAAAATTGTTTAACAAGGTAAACAGCAACATTTTTGAATGTTTAACTAAACCAAAAATGACAGTGAAGTTTAAAGTTCATTACTGTAAAATTCTTTAGAAAGAATCAGATAATTTGCCCAAAAAAGCCAGGTAAACTGTCTTGTTGACTTCAACGACTTTACAGATCAGACTGAAATTACATCAAAGCCTACAGCCAATTCTACAAGTCTTCATCCTTTTTTTTTTTCAGAAACATACCTACAAAGATATTTTTCTCACATGCAAACGTATATATGTGCAAAACTTAATTCTTTCAGTTCTCCACTGTCATCCACTTACCTCTGTATGTACATGCACATACACAACTGGAGTTATTCAAGCAATGTACTCAGCACATTCCCTCAGTACAGTGGTATGATTTATGTGTTTTATTTAAGCTAAGCATCTAGGGTCTTTTTATGGCAAATGGAAAGATATTGGCAATTCCAGAGGTGGAAATTATTCTATCTTAACAGAAGTCTCTAAGCAGCTGGAAGCATCTCTCTCACTTCTCTGTTTAGACTTGACAATCCAGGAGAATAATGTCAAACTAGGCAATTATATTTTAGCCTGATGGAATTAATCAGGACAACTTACTAAGCTTTGAGGCTTTGCAGAGTGCAATGTCATTGGGACAAGAGCTACTTCATGGTCTTCTGAACACATATAACTCTGGAACAAATAATAATTTTAGAAATTACTTTAATCTTCCGTCCGTGGGAGAACTGATGCATAAAGAATATGAAATTAATTCCTAAGTTAATGTTAGAGAACCATAATATTGTTCACAATTTTCCTGCTGATATAACAGAACACTGTCCACATCGTCATTTCACTGACAAATCTCTGAAATAAAAGGGTTATCCTTTTGAAGGTAGAAATGTCATCTTTGTTTTTAAACACCGAGTCTGAAATACTTCAAAAAATCACTGAGTTGTTTTAGGGGAGATACAATGTAGAAATTGCTCTAGAATAGCCAGATCATTTAAAGAAAGGTGGAAGCTTTTTGACAAAATGCATTTTTATATTAATATGCTTTCTCCCAGTGCACCGCTGCACCACTCAGTCAGACCACAATGTAAACCTGTGCATCCACTTGTTCAAATTCAGTAGCAGAGATTTACATAGGAATCTAAAGACAAAAACCGGTGTAGGGAGATGAACACCTAAAATGTCTCTGCTGCCTTAAAAAAATAGTATTAAGCAGTTCTTTCTATGAAAGTCAATTTTGAAAACTGTATCCAATCTTCACTTGCAGTTAAGCATAGAAAAAAATGATCGCCTGCAAGGACTGCCTATGCAGTCACTGCAGAAGCTCACGTTGAACTAAAGCAGATTCTAAAATTTACTATCCACTTAAATAATATCAAAATGTCATCTCTGTGTGGACAAAATCTGGATGATTTTGACTCTTCCTAATAACATAAGGCTTAATCCAGAGAGGCAAATGAAACAGAGATTACCTACAGTTAACTTGTGGAAACAGCTCATTTTTAATTCAAAATATATTCATGTATGTTCATACTGAGCATACAAAGCACATCACCTACAACAACCCTGGGATGCCTTAGATATACTGCTTAGATGTAGAAATGTTATCTAGATATAGCATATTCTTCTGCTTTATTTAGTTTTGGTTTTTCTGTTTCAGATGTGTTAATTAAATCATTTAAACTGATCTAGTATTAAAGGAATGGCATTGCCAAACTTTGGTGTCCAGGGCATTTTGTGATTCCTTTTTCCTGTCTTGATAAAGATCTTCACCTGGCAAAAACATGGAATGCCTTAAAATAAAAAGGCAATAATAAATTTTTGTTGCCCTTCCCCCCCCCCCAAAAAAATCACAAAAGTAATACTGGCTTTTAAAATTTAATTAGATATAGCAGATGTTTATTAATTAGCAGTGGGGACTTACACTGGGGACATAAAACTGCAAAGATTTGAAAGACAAGTTATCTACCTTTAATATTCTGTAGACAAAACTTTCATGTACTTGTTTTTGCACAAATATTATAAAGCAATATGAAATTACTTTTACTGAATAAATGAACAAATATCTTTCAGAAAATATTACTGTTACTTAATAATTGTCAAGACTGGAGCAGATACTGCACTGACAGCAGTACTGCTTGGAAGGTTGTGTGTATACAGGCTGTCATGTAGCTGCCTGGAATTTTCCAATTCAGTTTCAAGAGAGCTTAATAGCTATTAATATCTTCAACAGTATTTCAGTTTTTCAATGTTTCTCAAAAGAGCATTCACATTTGTTATGGGCATTTTAACACCTGTTAATAAGGCATTTATTTTGTTGTTCTTCAGAATTTGTATTTTGTGGCTGTGTATTTATTTGCTGCATAATATTGATCTTTCAAATCTGTGTTTTTTTAATTTTCTTCCTTCCATAACCAATCCAGACAAAGGAAGCTCTCCACCAGCAAACTCGGAAATCCTGCAGAAAAAACATGAAAATCAGATAATGTATGTTTGTCTTATTGAGAAATTCTACCCAGAAGTTATTCGAGTGACATGGACTGATGAAGAAAAGGAGATAACAGACAATGTAGTAAAAGGTGATGCTTGGCAACCCACAGAAGAGGATGAATACTCAATTGCCAGCTGGTTAACTGTACCAGCAGACAACAAAGACAAGAAATATTACTGCAAATATGAGCATGAAAACCAAAAGAATTCACTACCATCACAAGGTATATGCAACAGGTTAAAAATTTAGTTCTACGAATCATTAGAGACATCCTTTTTTTTGCAATAAAATTAGAGAAATAGGGCTTTCTACTACTGCTTCAGAAGACATCTGTGCTCCTTGGCACAGCAATAGCTACAATACGCAACGGGAAAAACTACCAAAATTTTCCCAGGAAAAGCAACTCAGCCTGTGCTATGCTCCCCAAGTGAGCATGCCTATGTAACAGAAAAATAACAGTTATTGAACCTCATCAGGTGTAAACAAGCATAGCTACAAAAGGTCTGCACAGAAGCACATCAGTTACTTTCCAGTTTACAGAAGTTACTGTGAAAATAGTAACACCTTTCATGGCTTACAGGTGTAAGTCCCTCTGACACCCCCTGACATTAGTCACAGCTATAAAAAACTAATGAGTTAAAAACGAAGTTGCTGAGGATGTAGAACAAAATTTAAATATATGACTTACTCATTACTTACTTATAACCACGTGTAAGAATAAGATTTGGTGTTTAATTGTGGAAAGATTGATTATGCAAAGCAAAATCTGAAAGACAACGCAACTTTAAAGAAAAAGTAACTTATATTCAATGCAAATTGTTTAAATCATGGTAATAAGTATAAGAAAAGTGATCTAATTGGTTTAAGTAAATGTTCTCTCCGTACCTACCTCTGCTTAACTTACTATAAATTCACGTAACTCTAATGAGTGAGAGCATAGCCATAAATAAACATTACATTTCAACCTTCAAAATATATTGTGACAAAAATATGCTTTAAGCTTATTTTGATGGAAGATGTACTTAAAGATGCAATATGGATGTCTTTAAGCCCATATATCTATGCATACAAACAACATAAAAAAGAATAAACACAAATTTGCTACTTCAAGAACTAAAAGGGTGTATTTTAGAGAAAAATCGTCACCAAAATAGCCAGTCACTTCTCTTCAAGCATTTCTCCTCTTCAAATTCTCTCTGCAAACGAATCCTACTTGTAAATATCTGTGCTTCAAACTGATCTTAAGCATCCTTTTTTGTTGTGTAGCACTAACTTCCCGTCTCCTTGTTGCTCTACTGCCCCCCTATTTCTCAATTAAAGAAAAGCCTAACTAGGGCATTTAAATTCTCTTTCCAGTAAATTCTATGAAGAATGCTCCTCAGGAAGGGGACTGCAGCACAATTTTTAATAGAGGTAATGTAATGTATTAAAATGTGGGAAAGCGGTGCATGTCGTGCAAGAGATAGCTATTGCTAATGTATGCTCAGAACATCACAAAAATTATCTTTCAAAATAGTGTAAATAGTGCTTTTAAGTCTGGAGTCTACCACTTAAAAACACTTCACTGCTACTCTGAACTAACTTTTGTTTGGGATTATAAGGGGATCTCCTACCTTTATTAGGAGTTTTATTAGGATGCTACAGATGCTGTTTGGGCTACTAGATTATTAGCCCGCATTAACTGCCACTTTATTAAATATCTGGAGTAGTGAAATGTTAAACGCTTCAGCTGATGCTTTGTCAGCCTAGCAATTGCCTAGCACTTCGGACAAAGCAATTGTTTTTTTAGCTTGAATGGGGTTTTAGGAAGAATCATGAGCACCTATGTTCAAAAAATCCAACACAAAAGGATTCAAACAAATGTGGTGCTACTGGTAATAAGTGCTGGAAGCACAACAATTATGTTCTTGCCTTTGCAAGGAATAATAACCCAGCGGCATGTGCTAAGAAGTTCAGTTGGGCTTGAACTTATTAGCAGTGAAAACCCACTCGAAGGACAGTCAGATATTGTACTTGCCAACTTACTGTTGTCAACGTAATTGCAGCAGTAAACTGACTACATAGTCCCAGTTCTACCCATCTTTTAGGAGGCTGTACAATATTGACATTAAACAATACTTTTCTGTCTTATGTTTTGATTACAGATGTTATGCTTTCAGATGTTACACTTCCAGATCACTTACTGCACAGGACAGCATATTTAGTGTACATCATCCTTCTTCTGAAGAGCAACATGTACTATCTTATCATACTCTTCTTCATTTACAGAATGCAACCTCCAACCAAGCACCAAGGAAAGAAGGTGTAAATGCTTGTTTAAGAAAAGGTTACAAATTGATTGTGGATTTACTTTGCTTACCTATATAGACTCCCCTGCTCTGTATTAGATGTAACAGCAAAAAAAAAAATCCCAAAATAATTTTCTGGCATTAGTGCATAGGGCTCATTTCGCTTTATTGCTAGTGTTTTTATATCAATCTAGTTTTCCTAATTTTTTTCTGAATATCAAACAAGGATAGGCAATAGCAGTAATGGATTTTAATCCAAAGTCCATATTGCAAAATGAAGAACATACTTAGATTGGAAGTAGTTATGCATGCAGAAGAGTAGGGATGCAATGGTATTTTTGATATATAAAGCACAGATGGGTTTTGTCATCGCACTTAAGGCTTAATTAGGAGCATTCCTGTGCAGTAAATTCATAGATATTTTTCCATTTTTACTTTCAATGATTTGTTGCCACTCTCATTTATCCAACAAATGAGGACTTAATTATTCTGAAGTGATGAGTGCTTTAAGAGACAATTAAACATAATTTTTAAAAGTGAACATGGGAGTTTTGAACAAAGAAGTCAGATGAGAATAAAAGCAATTATAAGGTGTGTGCATATAGAAAATGAAGAAATCCACCAGCACTGTGACACAGTCTGAAAATCTGCACATTGTGTTTTTAAAGAGAGAAACCAATGGTAATTATCATATACATCACCTTGTTTAAAGACACATTTTTAAATTGAGCAAAACCTCAAATCTGAAGCTTTGATAGAGAAAGTATTTTCCCAAAAGAAGAAAAATTCTCAGATGTTGCACGTTGAACTCTTAATCTCCAGGTTCCACAAATCAGTTCCTTTCAAGTTTATGCAGAAAAATAGGAATTAGACATACTGGGATAAAGCACTTGCTCAGTTTTTGTCATACGTTTGTAGATAAGTGCTTGCAGCATTTACACTCACTGTATCATTTAATGATGAGGGCAATAAAAGCTTTCCTCCAGCCGCAGTTGTGAGGTCTCTGTTTGTTCTCCAGAATTTCCACAGCCTGTATAAAGATGCCTAGAAAACCTGATTCATTTCTCTGTTCATATAAATTTCTCAGGAAATCAAAGATCCTTAAAACATTAGTTTTCTGCTTTTCAGTTAAACAGGAACACTTTTACAGAGAACAATAAAAGCTAGTCTGTTACATTTTTCTGTTGCAAAACAGAAAGCTAGGCTTTGTAAAACGGAGCTAAGCCAAGCCAGGGGGAAATGTTACAAAAGGACTGCCCACCTCCTAGGGCTCACACCATCTCCAACACAAGGGAACAAAAGTATGTCAGGCTCAGTTCTAACAACCACAGCTATTTTGCTAATGGCATATCTTGCAACTTATTTTACAATATGTATATTGAAGCCAAAACAACTAATTACTGCCTTAAATGTCATGTTACTCTTCAGTGCAAAGAAAGATGTGATTTCTAATCTTCAGTCAAACTCTGTTTGAGAAATGGCTGGGATTCCATGCTATTATTTGTTAAGGTTTGGTTCTGGTCAGAGCAAAACAGAACAGGTACAAAGGCATTTTTGGGATGCAGTTACTACAGATTTCAGTAGTACCATGGATATTACATGGGTCTCCCCTACCTTTATCTCTGCTAGAGAAATGCTTGATTGAACAAATGGATCAAGATCTCTCTCACTGAAATGATCTCCAAATCCACTTTTTGTGTCTCCTAAACAAAACTGAAAGATGTCATCCATGCAGTGTAGGAAAACAGAGAGAAAACAGAGCTTTTTAGCTTTTTTCACATATAAAACCCTTGCCTACACGCAATCCTAAACCATGTTGAGCATAGCTATCACCTCACAGTTTCTGGGGTTTTTTTAAATGCTTGGCTGCAAGGTTTTACATCTTGCAACAGCTCACATGTCCCTGATGTTTATTTATAGAAATGTACACTATTTATACTAAGTTTTTAATTCTTATTTATTTAGCCCAAATAAGAGGACAAGTGGATTTTTAAGGCTGGGTGCTGGGGCATTTGTTTGCAGGAAGGTTTGGTTATTTAGTGGAAAAACCCTACAAACTGAACTAGTCACAACTGGCTCTGAGGAGGTGGGCTGCGATGAGAATAGGTGATTAGCTGAGGACAGTTAGACCACAGCCGTCCTGCCTTCTACCACAGTATGCTTCTAAACCATTTCCTTCCAATGCAAATAAAAAGTTACAAAACCCACAAATGCCTAAGTTATGTGTAAGTATCACTGTGAAACTCACCGTTTGCTACACATGTTGGTCTAACTGCATGCTTGTGATACATAGGGACTATTCATACCACAATAATACGGGTGCTATGGGGTGTCTGCAGGACTTTCAGTCTTACTTATCATGACTGCACAACAGAGGTAGATGTTTTCTATTAAGTGTAAACTCCTGTTGTCGGGACTTTAAAATTGAAAGACATCTTCTCAAATATATATCTTACTACAACTGATTTTCAGTGATTTGAAGCTTCTACAAGTATGAGCACTACTACAGCTGCTCTACTGCTACAGAGTCGCAGAATTAATGCACATACTACAAAAATGGTTACAGGCAATGTGGTGCTTCTAATGAAAAGAAGACAGAACAGGATCAACTTTTACCATGAAAGTACAAAGAAGCAATTAGCACAAATTAATTTGTTTGTGTAAAGTATGAGAAATAAAAATACAGTTTTTATATATATAGGCGTATCGTGAAGTTGTAAGATATCCAAGTTCCACAGACTGAACTTGGGTATCAGGGTCTTTTTTTGGCCAGATAAGGGAAATGCGAAAGTTCTTAAAAATTAAAATCTTTTGGGGTCATGTTGTACACGAGGTTCCTTTTCTCTTTGGGCTAAGAACAAAGGAAGATCCATCATCTTTGACAGGGGATGGCTTGCAGCCAACTGGGATAAAGGGAAAGCCCCTTTTCAGAAAAAAGAGACCTTTTGGGGCAAAAATGAATATATTAAACTTATCTGAAAAACGGTGGGATTTTTGTAAAACTATAAAATGTATAAGTTGTACACCCAAGGGGTCTTTTCTCCCTGAAAACTCAGTGTGAGACTAGACCCAGTGCGCTGAATAAATTCTTTCTTTTTGTTTCATAAGTTTTTGCCATCTTTCTAAATTCAAGGGAGAAATTTTTCTCACATAAAGGGATTTGCAACATATTCTTTATCTTACTAGAAAAATTTTGTGTCCTATACAACTGCTTACACATGTTTTGAGAATATCAAAAACTATCAAAACAACCTACAAAGGTGATATGGAAACCTTCTTATGGATTCCTCTCACACGTAGTTGTAAATGAGAAAGATATGCATAAAGATTATCATAATCTGCCAACTACTAACTTATATTGATACTAGGTACTAACACTAATAAATTTTAAGAGAAATTCAAATAGTAGACTATTCAGTTAACTAAACAGTTAGAGCACCAAAATAGATCTTAGAAAGTGATGACAAAATAAGAAATCTCAGAGGAACAGTTTGAGTAATTGTTCCTCTGCACCTATAGATAGTTACAGGGAAATAGATCAAATAATATTAACAAGTAATTGACAAGTTTTACCTAATTAGTCCAAATGATCATTAAATATAGTTTCACCATAGGTAACTTTTATTTCATTGCTGCCCCCCCCCCTCCCCCCCAGCGAGGGGGAGGAGGGGGGGGAGCTTCGCTGGCGTGGCTTTGTGCCCTCGTGAGAAAGGAGAGTGGAAGCCTCGGAGCACACAGAGGTTCGTGCCATCATGGGAGATGTGAGGGGGAGCCCCAGAACACACAGAAGAGAAGGACAACTCAAAATCCGGCCAGATGGAGCTCATTCAGCCCTGTAAGGCCATCCATCTAAGAGAAGGTCACTCTAAACAAACCTACGTCCTGAGGACCTCGCTGCCACCGTCCAAGCTCGCTCGGCCCCGGCAGATGAACCTTAGGATTAAAGGGTGGGCTCAGTTCAGCACATACTGTGTCTCACCTAAAAAATCCATTGTGCAGGCTCCAAGGCCTTACCCACATTTGCAAAGCCCTGTATCACCAGCGCGCTTGTAGCAAACGTGGGTAGTGACCTTTTCCAAATCTTTTTTTGGGAAGACTGGCCATGATGATGATTACCAGTCTCCTGATAAGGTAAACAAGAGCACACTTTCCAGTAATTACCTAGTTCCTGAGATTAACCTCAGGAACTACTGAATACATTTTGGACAAATATTTTTATACCGCCTGGGAGGTGACCTAATACATGTATTAGATAAAGATAAATTGTTGTGACATACTACAGTGTATGGAAGCAATTCTCCTGGTTTTCTAATTAATAAACTTTCCTAGCAGCTCCACTAGCAAATCCCAAACTTCTCCCAGAGATTTTCTTTTACAGAAGTCTGGATGAATGCAGATGAGATTCAAGACAATACATAGGGAAAATGGGGGAGGGTCAAAAGGAAAGATCCCCCTCTATTCCAAACAAGCACTAGATTTCAAATTAGGAGCTTCAGCTTCCAAAGAAGATTTCATTCCTACTGCTGTTGGAGCTTTGCCATTTTTGGCAAAATAATCCTGAAAATAAATGAAGCGATTCCCAAAATGAGGAAATCATCTCTCCTATACATCCAAAGCTCACTACAAAAAGATACAGGTCTCTGCTGTGACAAAGTGCTCAAAAGGACCTGCAAACAAAGCTTAGGTGGTCACAGAGCTGTGCACAGAAACAGCTCCTCAGGAGGCTCTTCTTTGCAGAAAGGTGACCTGATGGATTAGTAACTTCAGAGAGACTTTTCCTTTCCTGGAATAGCATAACTACCAACGATTTTGAGGCTCAAATTCTACTATAAAATAACAATAGAAATAAACTTTCCAGACTGATTTTGAACATGCTACTAGCAGAATGATTGCTCAGCAGCCAACACTTCATATCTAGTCCCTTTACATTTAGTATGAAGTCTCTAATCATTTCATATACTTTAATGTACCCATAAAGGGTGCATAAACCAACACTATTTACTTGACAGCTGCGACAGAAAGAAAGTACACAAGCTGTTACTGAGGCTCAAGCAGCAGCTTGCCGAGATCTAAGCAATGCTGGTCACAGGCCCCCAAAGGAGAACGTTTCCAAAGTGAGTATGCAGTTTTCAAAACTTTCTGAATCTTCAACTTAGATTTCTATACCCACAGCAAAAGGCTGGACCTGCTCTTAAAAATGTTAACAGCTTATGTTCTGCGGTTTAAAACTGTTTTTTTGGTGAAAGTACCGTTTCCACCAGTCAGCCTTATTACACCAGCTATAAAAACAGTATCACTGCTTATTTTTAACTAAAATACATATTTTTCCTTTCAAGTCATTTATGTGTTTTCAGTCCACAGTATTCCCAGGGATCACGCCACTGCATAAGGTTTCAAGAATCTCCATGCAGGAAAGACTGATAGTACCTGGAGTCCCAGCAGCCTGCCTGGTAAGCAGGTTATTTCATTCACGACCTATATTACTGTAATCCAAGTTTTCCCCCTTCTATTTCCTGTGTCAAAAACAGACCTTAATTTGCAGTGCGCTGGTACTGCACAGCGTTATACTCTTCATTGTCCTGTTGTCTCATCACCCCTGGATGGAGTTGTAAGTCCCTTACACCGAAACTGCAAGGTTTCTTACTGTTTTATTGAGTTCTAACTCCTCTTGAAAAAGCTTCTAACATCTGTCTTAAATATGCTTCAGTTCCTAGTAGGTACAGAGCATACCTGTTCATCTTCATATAAGTTTGCAAAATAAACGGAAGCAAACTCCTCAGTGAAAGAAAAAACACACAGAATGTGCACATGGGCTTACAAAAGCCATGCAAGATTACAACTGCTTTCTGCCCTGGGGCTGACTATCCTGCTTCTGCAGGCCTCTACTTAGGCAAAAAATCCACTTCCTTCAGAAAGCTTTGGGAAAGGCCAATGCTGAGCTCTGACACACTCCTTCAGTCAAGCTTAAGGGCAAAGCACCAGCCAGACAGCACTTCCACTCTGAACATGCTTTCCAATTCAAAGTTCTAGAAAGAATAAAAATCCCTCTTTCAGCAAAGGGTCTTCTCTTTGCAGGAGGGACAGGGGCAGTGAGCTCAGCTCACCGTCGCCTTGACTTGCAAGTGGCCATAAAATGCATCCTGGGATCACAGCTCAGAGTGGGCCAAGCTCGTGAGTGACTAGTGTCAGTGTGAGAGCCCAGGGCATGACGGGCAGGGATAAGCTGAGGACTGGCAGAGTGGAAGCCAGAACACTGCGGGGGGAGTAGTTGTGGGGTCACCGGAGGCTGTGGAGCATCCTGGGCCAGGGAATGCCCAGCACCAGTGGGGCCAGGAAAGGGGGCATCAGAGCATACCCTGGGTGGGGGGCACCGGACTCCTGGTGCAGCATCAGCCCCATTGATGGCATTGTGGTCGCCCCCGCAGCCCAACAGTGCCCATGTGCTCCTAGAACTCGTGCTGCTCCTCAGGCTGTCCTCTTATGGTTTCCACATCATCATCGTCCAGCTCCTGGACTGATTCAAGCTCCAGCACAGCTTCACACTGGTGATGGAGTGTCCAGAGCACTCTCACGACTTCTACAACATCTGGAGGAGCACAGATTTCTGACAGAGAAGATGGTGCAGGGGCTGTTACACCAGGTGCCGGAGATCGTGCAGCACTGCACCAGCCACAGGGTTCTGCACTGCAACATTGGGGCCGAGAACATCATCCACTGTTGAGATGAAGCTGATGGACTTTGGTTGTGGCACATACCTAAAGGACATGCTGTACTCCCGCTTTTCAGGTGAGCTCACACCCAGGGCCTGGCCAGGCACCAGAGGCTCTCCCTTTTGCTGGTGGTGGGGAGGGGGGGAATAATTCTTCAGCTGGTGGTCAACTTGCTTTTTTTTGTTGAGGGTAGGTGGGGATGGATTTTGCACAACAGGAGGCGGCTGGGACTAGTGTGGGGGGGGGAGCCAGTCCAACAAAAACAACTAATCTGTGGAATGTAGCTGAGAGGGGGTTGCAAAACCCATGTGCTGGCCTTTAGTTTGGAGGCACGGGAGGGCTTGGGTGGCTCTACTCCCCTCTCCTGCCTTGGCCTATGGTATTTTTCATGACCAATGTAGGGCTGAGGGGGGGATAAAAGCAGGGTTTTCCCTATTTGTGCATGGGTGTTTTTCTTGCACCTAGTGGTCAGGCCTTCCCAGGGCCCCCTCTGCACTCTTCCAGCAGCAGGGGCTTTCTTTTACCACCCAAAGTTTGTAAACAAGAGTCAGGTGCTTGAGACAAGGCAGCAGGTTGTGACCTGTGTGCCACCGGTGCAGTCGCCACATCCCCAGGGATGCCCAGCCAAGGGCAGTATCTGCCTGATGAGCTCTACCTGTGCCCTAAAGGAAAAAGGGGTGTACAGCCCACTGGAGTGGATCTTCTTCCACTGCTGCCATGGCCGTCCAGTGACAATCCGGTCCCTGGGCATCCTGCTTTACAACAAGGTCTGCAGATTCCATCCCTTCAACACAGATGAGGACATCATCCCGAGCCAGTTCTTTTTCCTGCTGTGGTTGTCTCAAGGTGAGTACCCAGCTTTGCGGAATGAGAGGAATAACAGTGTTGGGAGATTGCAGGTTGTACACAAGCATCCCACTCTTGCAGCTGAGAAGGTTGATCTCCCATGGTTAACTAGAGGAAGTGGCACACATCCTGCCATCCTGCTCTCCTCCAAACCAGAGAATCAGTTGGGAGGTCTGGGTCCAGCTCTGAGCATACCCAGCATTTCCTAAGCACTGCAGACCTTGGGAGAGGGTGCACACGAACCACTGACCGCTGCTTTCTGGTTTCTCTCTCCAGAGTGCCAGCACCTCATCAGATGGTGTTTATCCACGCACCCCTCAGACAGGGCATTGCTGGAAGACCTTTTCAACTATTCTTGGCTGTAGGAAGTTCCCCTGCCCCAGAAGATGGCAGAGATCCAGTCCCCTGCACAGTAGGTTCCAGAAGCCTGGTCAGTAAGAGCTTCACACATCTCATGGCATTAAGAAGCCAAGAAAACCAGGCTGTTTCCCTGTGACCAAAGCACAGAGTAGGTATTACAGCTGCTGAGATGCTTCTGACGGTCCTGGGGGAGGTTGAGGAAAAAGCGGCTAAGTGCTCTCCATCGTATTTGAGAAGTCGTGACAGTCCAGTGAAGTTCCCACAAACAGGAAAAGGGGAGACATCCCCTCCAGCAGCCAAGATATTGAGGTCTGCCTGCAATCTTGGGCACAACTGTGGCATCCTGCAGCATGACATCAAGCTGGGGAACATCATCTTCAACCTGGCCACTGGCAGGGCAAAGCTACTTGACTTTGGTTGTGGCACCTTCTTTGAGGACACCCTTTATACCCAAATGAAATCAAGATGAGTCCACTCACGGTGTGGGGGGTATGCTCCTGGTCCCAGGCATCGCAGGGCCCATCTGGACCGGACCCTGGAGGTTCCCTGCTTTGCTGTGGTGGGGAAGACAAATTTTTCAGCCAGCTGCCAAGTTGCTTCTTGGCAGGGGAGGGTGTGGATGTTGATGAAGTGGAGTTGGCTTCTGGCCTTGCTGACAGCTTCTGCCACTCACCCTGGCACGGGCTGGGGAAGGGGAAGACAGCCCAACAAAAACATCCACCCATGGGGGTACCAGAGGCATGAATTCTGAATCTGTGTGCCAGCCAGTTTGCTTTGGAGGCTCTCAAGGAAGGATTGAGGCTGGGGGAGGGAAAGGCAGGGTTATTCCCCACCCGTGGGAAGGTTTATTCCTTGCATGTGGAGGTTGGGCCTTCCCCAGGGCTGTGATAGAGTGTCAACATTTTACCTTTTTTCTTTTTTCCAGGTTTTGTTTTTAATTTACTTTCATGCACTTGTTATTTGTTTTTTAAAGGACGATTCTACCTGGTGCCCAGACTGGATTGGGAAGTGCTGAGACTGTCTGCAGAGTGGATCCACTGCCAGTGCTACCCTGGCCATGGTCTGCAGGTACAACCCCTTCAAGGCTGATGAGGACATCATCAGGTATTAGCTCCTCTTCTGGTAATGGATCTCTCAATGTGGGTACCTTGGCTTCACAGCATGGGTGGGATAACAGGTTTTGGAAGATGGCAGTGGGCACACAAACACCCTCCTCTTGCAGCTAATGAGGAGGTTGATCTCCCATGGTTAGCTAGAGGAGGTGGCACAAGTCCTACCATCCTGCTCTCCAGAACTGAGAACCGACTGGGAGGTTTGGGTGCAGCTCTGAGCACACCCAGTGTGGCCTAGGTGGGACAGGGTGGGTAGAAGACTTCTTCAACTGACCATCAGTTTCCGGTTTCTCTCCCAGGGTGCCAGCAACTCATCACATTGAAACAGCCTATGAATCACCAGGCCTGCAAATCTGGGGGGGCATGGGGTGTTTATTTGCTGTCAAAATCTTGCATCCTCTTCCAAGCTTTTGATCCCCTTTCTCCAGGGTAATCTTCTTGTGTCTTTACTGAGTTTATTGGAACTGGGAGAGGTTAAGCAACTAGAAAAATGCAATAGCTCCTGTCTCAAACTGCAGCAGCCACTTCAGTGACCCTCAACTGCCACTCAGGCATGTGCTGCATTTCTCTTTACCTTTTTGGTGCTGCTGTCTGTCCCCTAACAACCTCCTCACCAAATTTTTCCACCCAGCCCTAACAGCCCTCCACAGACCAAACAAAACCCCACAAGCTTGAAGGAAGGACAAACCATGCTGGGTGTTAAAAATCATGCCCTCAGTAAAACAAAGAATGGTATTCATAGAATCATAGAATCAGCTGGGTTGGAAGGAACCTCTGAGATCATTAAGTCCAACCCTTGATCCTCTACCGCTGTGGTTACTAGACCATGGCACTAAGTGCCACACCTAGTCTCAAATTATGCCATGTTACAGTTATTTTTAGACCTATTTTCTACTAACTTGTGCCTTTTTGCAGGCACTAACTTGCTATAACACTCCAAGCAAGAGGCACTAACAATTGTCTCTGTCCCCTTGCAAGCGTATCTGAAATTATCTGGGTAAGATAATAATTAAACCCAACTAACTTACACTTTTTTTTCTCAACCAAACCCTAATAAATCTAATAATTTATTTAAAAAAACCCCCAAACACTAAAAATCTTGATTTTTAGAAAGAATGTACTGATGCTTTACCTGCGCTCCAGAAAAAGTTTTGAAGTAGATTGGTAACTTTGTGTTAGTAACTCCTTATCTGACTGTCACAGTTATGTGACACTGTGCCACAGTTATGGCACGGCTTTCCCTGTGCCATAAAATGTTCAGCTTCAATGAGGTGGTTTAGAGAAGTGAACAAGAAGATATGCTCCCTACCACATGACATATAAGGCTTTAGCAGTTTTGAACATATCAGCACACTGAAACCCCCCAAAGTATCCATTTATCTTCAGAATATATACCATTAAGAACAACTAATCCAGACCCTGAGAGTTTCTACTCAGTAAGTACACAACAAAAAGCAGAGAGTTAACAGCAATGATCTATGTGATCACCAAACTGTCTCCTATTTAATAAGCAGGCCTAAGTAGATCTGCTACTTACAAGGAGGTCTCTCAACAGGGAAGGAATGTTATTTTCCAGAAAGCTTCAGTTTTGCACTGTCACAAAGTTCTTTGAAAAGCAGCTCTGGTCAAGCAGAGGTACTAACCCTCTGGATTGCAAAGGTCCCGAAACCTGCCTTGCTTTGAGAAATACTCCCAAAGGGTAGCAATTTACTACAGGAAAGCACCTGATACAAGTCTGAAAGAATGACTCCTCTCAGACCAAATGCTGGACTGCTGACCTCAAGGAAAGTTCAACATAGGGACAGTGCCACTCCAAACACTTCAGGATTGTGACCGCAGGTGCCACCGATTTCCTACGTGTGATGTGCCAGCTTGAACCGTGGAAGTTCTAAACAGTATTCGCTGTCCATAGGGAGTAGGTTACAGACAAAACCCACATCATTTCAGAAAGCACCTCCTTCCTTGTACTGTCCCTCTCTTCCATGGCAGTACTGTCAAGCAGTAGCAGACTAGGTTAAGAAATAAAAAATAAATTCAAACTCACTACTTCAAAGTAAAAAAGAAACTTCTTAAGAATATGGGTATCAGATTTTACTATTCTGCCCTGTTGGTATCTGGGTATTCAAAAGAAAACACAGAACATCTAGTTTTGGTCAGTAAAGTGTCCATTTAATAAATTCCTTAGCCACATTTCCCACCCCCTTCCTCCCACCATAAAATTTCAATTCGCACTTAAGCAGATGACATATAATTTGATGGTGTACAACATAAGCTTTTAAATCTGCACTCTTAATACTAAGAGTATTAGGGGCTAGTATTTGACGAAATTACCTAGAAGTCAGATGTGCCCATGCAAAAAAAGCAGATTTTTATATACAGTCCCTATTTTTTCTTACAAATTTAAATATTTTACAAAAATGTATTTTCAAAATGTAAAAAGTTTAGTGAATACCCCAAATGTATCCTAAAATAAAATGCTATCTGTTTTCAAAGGCTATTTCAACAATGAAGTCTAAATTGCACCGGATAAAAGGCACTTGTGCTGTGTGATGTCTTAAGCAAATACATGTTAGTTTTGTAGTACAGTAATACAGTGTCTTCTTGAATTCATGCAGCTGTCTCTGAGCATCAAGCATCATTAAAGCAGCCAAGGGAGATTGTGAATAAACTTGATTCCACCGTTGTAAAAATATTTTCTATCGCTAGAAAATGGAGCATTGTGCTCCATCTTTGACTCTAGAATCAAATGCTACTGAAAAATTGCTGTAATTCACATGGGAATTCAAACTACATTTCTTTCTCTCATAAGTTACAAAAAGTATGTAATTTAATTATGAAATTAAACCATCAGTGAACAGCTCAGTGTTTAAATAGTTTGTGCCAATGAAAATCTGTATTCATAAACAACCTAGGGGGTAGTTTTCAAGGAGCAGTGCATTGTATTTTCAATTTCCAACTTCACTGTTGAGATAAAAGCGCAGTCCTATTTGCCTTCATCTTCTCCAGCCTTTTCATTAAATGGCTATTGGTCATCTCCATCTCTTCTATCTTATCCAGTGCTGTTCTTAACTATAAAATGAAAAAAAAATTATGATTACTTTAGTTTATTTGGACTTTCTGCTGTTCTCAAGCTTTGCAAGAAGAAATTATGTCAGGAATATAAGTATTATACAGTTTATAAGAGTGCCACAGAAGTTAAGACATAACGGTTTTGTTACTGCAGGCAGATGAACCAGAATTAAACTGTTAAAAACAATTGTGAAGCAACTGAAACATGAAACATGTATTCATTTCAAAAGAACTAGGTGCCTGCAACTTCCCATTAAATGAAAGTAATTTACCTAGAACAAGGTAAAGTCCTCTTTACCATTATTACTTCCATACAGGTATGTATTCCCATAGGTAGCAGGCATCACGCTGGTCATGCAGCAGCTCTTAAGCAAGCATGATCAACAGCTCAGTTAAATACAGCTTCTTTCCAGTATTCTGTGAGGTGCATGCTGGATAATTCACAGGCTGTCACTTGACATAGGGACCATTCATCTCTCCAGCCATTTTTGTAGAAGGATTACTTTAAAATATTACAAGTGATCAGATTTAGAAAAAAATACAACTTAGATCCTTCCTTTCAAGAAAGAACAGCATTGAATTGTAGTTAGTATTATTTTTATGTGCTACAGTTGTCTTCTGAATGCCACACAGAGACTTGAAGGTCATCTCAAAAAACACTTAAAAGCTGCAACCAAAGATTACGAAAAAACAGAGCTTGGAGGCAAAAGACAAAGCAGTTCTAGACTGAAAGGAGCATACAGCGGAAAAGGAAATCAAGTCAGTTACCTCTCGCTGAAGCTTCCTCTTTTCAGCTTTGAGTTCGTCTTCTACTTTTTCTGCATTTTCTGCTGCATTTTTATACCTTGCAACCTGCCCCTCAAGTCGTCCAATCTGCAAACATAAACAAGACAGGAATGACTACTCAGATGTTTCACCTGGAGCTCGCCTGCCACCAGCTGTTCCTGCCAGGACACAGCTGAGAAGACACAGAAGATTAAAAAACTAAGCAGAGTTGGAACAAGAAAAATAAAGAATTAGGAAACACGTGGATTAAAAACAAAAGCTGAAAAGCTGAAAGCCAGAAACCATATAAGGAGGTGCAAAGTAGAAAGGAGACTGTGAAATACTACCAGGACATGATGAAAAAGGTCTTGAGCCCAAGCACAAAGTTCAGTAGTAAGGAGGGAGCTTGAGACAAATAGTGATTGCAATCTGGAGGTGTTAAAACCAACTCATTGAATTGTTCTATTTACAGCTCCCTGCTACCCCCAAATCCACATGACAGGGTAGTAGCCTGAATCTGTGCAAAAGGGAAAAGCTATGCATCTGTGATTCAAATTATAATCCTTCATGTGATTTTTCATAATAATCTGGAGTCAATTTCCTGAAATTCAGAAGTATGGCAGAACATAAAGAGGAACTGAAGCTACCAGTTCAAAAAAATCAATTTATGTAACTTGATTACTTGAAAGAAAGTTGTAAAGACTGTGTAAGGTATATAATTTACTCTCTGAAATTCAAGAGGTTCTTTTCATACATGTGTCTCTCACACTTCATAATTTTAAGTCAATAACATGATATTATCGTTCAGCATTTCTGTAGATTTTCTCTTACAGTTAGATTGCACAAGTATTAAATTGCAGGAACTATAAAAAAATGTAGTGCCCTTCTGTGCAAACTAAAGATCAAACAACAAATCAAATTACGAAATACATTTTCATAGTTTTTGTTGAAAAAAGTATTGTCAAAGTGTGCAGATTAAGTGTAATAATAACAAATATGAAGAAAGACACACTTACATTTTGTTCCAAAGTAGTTATATCCTGTTCAGCTTTTGAAAGCTTAAATTTGTATTCACTAATTTGTCTGTTGGCATCTCCTAGACAAAAATTGACATGAATATGACAGTCAAAGCAACTCTCTAAACTAGCAGATTCCCTTTTAATTAAAATTCATTAATAAGACCATTTTATTGAGAAGCCTGTAATACAGGATTGCAAAGAGGTAAATGTTCTTTCAGAAATCTTTGAGAGTATGGAAAAGAAATAATTTTCCTGTTACAGAACACAACTGTTTCTGTAAGAATGTGCACTAAATTTCAGATGTACTGATGAGATACACACCTTTTAGAACACACAGCAAACTCATTCCTTAAAAAAGAGAAGCAACACAATAACCAACACACACTGCAAAATGGGTCAGACCACAATAGACATAATACAAACAGCATTTACCTTAGACATCTGTAATAACATTTGAATCATAAGGAGCACAAGCCATGAACCTTACAAACTCCATGGCTCTTTACAAATTATTTTGGTGTTACATCTGAGCCCTGACACTGCCAGTACTTTGTTCATGTTCATTGACACAAAGATATTAAACAACAATCTGTCTAACAAGTAAAGTTTTCAGCTGACGAAATAGCTTGCTTGAAATGGAAAGTAGCTTACTTAGTGCTTCTATGAAGTAACACTGAATATCGTGTTAAATAAATTTTCGTGTTTTGCTTCAAGACAATAGTCTTCTAGATTAAGTTTCTGTATCAAAGATTCAACAAATAAATTAGGTAGAATATATTTTAAAAATCTCAGGTGAAATTCTATTGTCTAAAAATTGAAATTATTCAAGTAGTGGCACCCACTCTAGGCAAGGTTATCAACTGAAAAATAACTTCCTAGAATGTAGTTATTCAACACTGAAAGAGGCAGATTTTTAAGCTATTCTGCAGTGAGAAATTCCATCCAAGGACATATACCACAAAAACCTATCTGCTCAACAATATATTAATTCACAATACTACTACTGCACAACAGAAGGATTGGAAACGTCTGTTTCCTCTCTGCAGGAAAAATAACTTTGAACAGTAAAAATATACCTACTTTGCAATTCAATTAGCTGCAAGTCAGAACCATTCTCTAAGCCTATGATATCTGGATTCATGCCATCACTTTTAGAATACTTCTGTCGTTCTTCTTCTAACTGCATCTTCAGTTTTCTAACCTGAAAAAGGAAGTGTTCTTTTGTGAAAAGGAGACTTCCTGAAGTTCAGTAGTTGTGTATCTAAATGTTCAATGGTAAAAAGGCAAAGCAGTCCTGAGATGCCACTGGCTGAGAAGGTACTGTAAGCAAAAGTAGCAGAGCCATGTGGAAGAGGAAGGGAAGCCAGTCCCTGAGGCCTGCGGCTGCAGCCCTCCATCCCCATCACTGGGGAATTACCCTCTGCATATCAATGCACAACCCAAACCCAACAGTTTGATCAGTGCTGCAGGGATGTCTGCACAGTGCAGGAGCACCCAGTAACTAACAGGGCCCACTTTTCAGAGGAGTAGATGGCATTAAACTCCGTTTATGGATTTCTTCTACTGCATATCTTTTCCATTCTAAACATGCATGAAAATCTTGAACAATATCCTGGTGAGTTTACAGATACACTAATTCACCGCTTTTTTTGGAGGTCCTCTCTCATACTCCACCTGGAAACAATGGTCCTAGGCAAGCCTGTAGCACACATTAGTTTTAAACAGTTCCATTTCATGCTACAGCAGCTGTCTTGTGATTTTTCCACTAGTCAGGGAACAGAGATTTCTCAGCTATGTCCACTGTGTACTGAGCTTATTAAAGAAGCAGGAGCTACCTTTTTGACACTCTCATAAAAATACTGCCCTACAGATTTAGCAAGAAGTTTTACAGAAGTTATACTTGCAAAACTCCCATTCATGATACAAATCAAATACATGATCAGTGATTTTTACTATTATATAGTGAAAAATATACACATATGTATTTATGTACTTATATTTAATACTATAATTATTGACATTCCAAACCAAGCATCTATACTATAATTAAGGTACACTAATTGCAAAAACAAATGTTCACAACACCAGTTTAAATTTGCAATGTCTTCGACTAGAAGCACTAACACTATGGTATTCTTAACAATTGCTCAATGGCAACATATTTTCTTGAGCCCTCTCTTCTCAATACTGTACTGTATTAAAATACAACTAATTTTATAATATGAATTTTCCATTTGAGTAACTAAAATGATCAATGAAATTGTATCACTTAGCAATTTTGAAGAAAGTGCCACTTGAGCTTATGAGAATGTAATTTTACCGACTTTAGTATTTTCACATAAGACAAAAGAGCTTTAAGCACATGCACTAATAGTAGAGTCGGAAGCAAGTTAGATTTCAGCTAACCAGTTACTGAAATGAGGTTTCTTTAACAACGAAGATCAAAGTCATATGGATAAGGACACTAATGAAAGGAGTTGCTAATTCCTGGTAGCCAATGAGGTAAGAAGTTGAGTATTTTATTTTGCTTTAGTGCCTACGTATTTGATTAAGCACTTCTGGTCCTTAACATGTGTTTATTACTAATATATTATTAGTCTGCAAAAGGATACACAAAAGTCTATTTTTGAAATGAATAGCTTATTTTACCTGGGACAATAATTCCTCCTTTTCTCCAGCCAGTTTTTGTAGCCTGATATCTAAAAACCAAAGAACCCGATTAAAAATCAGAAAAAACTGAGAATAAGAACATGTTTTTCATAACTTTTTGTTCTATTTCAAATAAAATGCTCTTCAAAGCTAATAGCACTGGGACCATAAAACTTTGATATCTCACTCATAACACACTAACCTTCAGTTAGTAAAGGCAGAAAAGTATTTCATTCATGCTGTGTATTAGTATAACAATTCTAAAAGCAAGACCTCCAGGTTCAGTAAATCTTCGAAGTAAATTAAAAACTGAGGATATTTTTTAATACTAAAAATTATACTAAAATATATTGTCCCGATATCTAGAACAGCCATTTCCAACAACAGTTTCTTCTGATTTTATACTCTTTTTCCTGCCTTATTCAGAGGTTGCTGTCTCTTCAGAGAAGCCACTAAGCTTCCCCATATGTTTAGAAAGTTTGTAAAAAGTGTCCTCAAACCATTAAAAAATTACTTAGGAAAGGACCCACGGGAATGAGGGAATATCTCTAATTAGTAAAGATCAGTAATGGCTACAAAACAGTCTGTCAAGCAACACCATGCTAAGATTAGAGCAGCTTCCTTAGAAATTATAACTTTGACAGAAACAAAGCATAACGACATTCGTATTTCCCTATGAGGAGCCAGAGCAGAAATATGTATCAAGTCTAATTTCTGTCAATACAAAGATATGTAACTATTATCTATTATTCACAAATATATTCAAAGTATATAGAGATGTTCCTTCACATATTAACAGAGTATTACAGTGGATTGACTATGCATAAACAACTTGTTCAACCTAAGGATAAAAGCAAGTTAATTACCCCCCAATATGTACCTTTGTGTTGTCCCTGTCATTTTTTGAATGTTTTTAAAACTTCTTTTTCTAATGAATGTGATGGAAGACTGCACTTGCTGTTCTTTCATTGATTATACACAGTTCTGAAGAATTATTTTCATGAAACACAATGGAAAACATACTAATACAACAGACTACACTTTTAGGCAAGATGTTTTCTGAGAGTAATAAAACAGAAACTGGACCAAGAGAACTAATTCTTTTCAAACATACAAGCACCTATTATTTTTTCTTTCTCAAAATATAACATCTGTCTTTTTACTCAGCGTAAGCAAAAAACTAAAATAAATCAATCTTGAGACTTGTGTAAGTATGTATTACAGAAGTATCACAGGTATCTTTCTGCAGCTGTACATCACACACACTGTGAACAGAAGGGAAACAAAGACCTCTACCACTCCATAAAGTATGTTAGGATATTTTTACCTAGTGGTCCTTCTCCTGCAGATTCCAGGACTTGAGCAGCTTCTTGTGACACAACTGTTATTGCACCAACCGCCGATTCATGGTTTACATCACCATTTGGTGTGCCATCTGGAATTATAACTAATCCATGTTTCTAAAAACACAAAAGAAAGAAAAAAACCTACTCATACAAGAAAAATGATAAAATATAAATCAACAGAAAAGTTTTTTAAGAGCTTTTAAAGTTAATTGAAACAGCTACAATGAAATGAACCAATTATTCTACCCTAAGGTCAGGTTTTCAGACTCCACAAGAATAGTAACCATTCTTCCTCTTTTTCACTGACCTTGATTTCACGCCCTATTCTTGGATTTGTTACTGTAATGTAACTACTACCAACATACCTCTCCTCTCTTCATTGTTTCCTTCAGGTCAGCCAACTCCTCTCTGAGCTCATCTCGCTCATTCTTAATGCAGTCAAAGTAATCTTTCTGTCTTTCTAGGGCCTGGGCTCAGGCAGATAGCAAGAAAAAGAATGGCACAGAGAAAAAGCATATGACAGATAGTAGAGAGATTTTCTACAAGTAAATACAATGAGCTCCATAAAAGTAAAGAAATTAAAAGGGCTTTTAAAATATATATTAATATATATCTCTGAAAACTGCTTATTTAGCATATTTAGCTTCGTGCTGCATTTGTCTTTTTTTTTTTTTCCAGGCAAGTCTTAATAGATTCTATAACAGATTGTTATCTAGTGACATCTACTTTTGGTAAATTTTTATAAACTAAATTGAATACCAAAAAAGTAAGTAATTCTTCTTGATACAGGTACTCTGTGGCCAGAAATAAAAATTTCTGACACTCAAGTGAAAAAGATTCTAAAACATTACACCTATTGAACTAATTTCTTTACCTTTTATAGGGTCCAGAAGTAGACACTGCACATCATGAAAGACTTTGGATGTATCCACGTACAAATACTAGTCTATTTACTAATTGCTTAAGGGTTAAAACCACTATTTACTAAAACCAAAGCACTTGGTTTTAGAGAAAAAATGGCAGCAAACTCTATTATCACTATTTTAGCACAAAAAAGTATGGCTGCTAAAAGTGCAGTATGGATGTAGGTAGGTTTGCCTACCTATGCTGCAGCTGTGTTAGCTGGCAGTTAAGTGGCCACTTTCACTTGACTGGGCAACATTGCAGTATTCTATTCAAATTCAATACTACCTGCATTACAAATAATCCTCATCATACAGCAACTGCAAAAGCATACACAGAGTTTGCCAAGAAAATTATCCCAGTAAACCTTATGTTATGCATGAATGTTTAGGAATGGACTGATACCAAGAAAGAAATGAAGGTGTATACTTTTGTACTGTAATACATAACTGCAGTATGCTGAATTCTAATAATCATCTAGAATCTGTATCCTAGAGCAATGTTTCAATGCACTACTCAATTTCAACAGAAAGTTTTAAAAAAGTGCTGATGCACTTGGTTTATTATCATGTAAATTTAACATTTAAAATACAGGTAATTCAACAGGTGTGAAAACATTAGCTGTCACATCTTAGTTTAAGAATTTGTAAGATGTCCTATTATTTCCTAACACACACTAGATCTCTAACTACATCACAAGTAGTGTGAAGAACCTTAATCATGACATCATTTTGTGTTCCACTTAAAAGATACATACATCTTTGTCATTTTCAAAAAACAGCGGCATACACACAGGGGAAAGTAAGCTCACCCGCTTGAGAGAATGGACACAGAGGCCCAGAATCACATTACAGACACAGATCCTGTGTCCTTGACAGTGTCCTGTGATGATGCTGACCTTCCCAAAAAATGTTTCAAACCTCACCACCTAATGCACAGGTGTTGGAAATTGGAAAATTCTGATGGGGAAGGAAGTGAAACTGACATCACTATACATCTCTACCGTATGGAGAGCTTAATAATCATTATTCAATGCTGGAAAACTTTAGTAAAAATCCTAGTGTTTGTATGCTCAAGGGTTAATGTAACATGACATGGATTTTGTAAGAAATCTACTTCTGCTATTCCTCTATTGGGCAGGGGACAAAAATCAGAACAACTAAGCTCTATGGGCATGTTTTAACATACCAGTATGAGTAAAATCATGTGGCAGAAAGCAGATTTGTCTGGGGTCTTATTTTCTGAATATTCCAAAAACCCCCATGAAATCTATACCAAACTCGGAGTTGCCATTACTAATTTCAAATTGGTAATACTTGCACAATTTGGAGCCACCAAACAGTAAAATAGCTGTATATTTCAGGAAAATAATCTGAAGCTATAGTCCAGTGTCCTCAAACTGATCTAATTTAAGATCAAATACAACTGCAAATTTCAATCACTGTAGAAAAAGGACAACATAAGAAGGCAGGTGTAAAAGAAACTCATGCTATCTTTGTTCTGTTTGCCTCCCTTTCTTTCTCTGAGACAGCAAAAGTTTTGCATACATTGTAAAACTACATTACAATTCTAGTTATAAACTACATTGTGAAGCTTCTCAGAGATCTCTGAAGCTGGAATAGAGTAAAAATTAGCACATCTGCTCCACAGTAAGGGAGAAAGACTCAAAAACTGAGCTACGAAAAGTATGTCAATGTTTACAGATGTGGGAAAGAGAAGAGCAATGTTTTTACATTTGCATAACTTAGAGATTTCAATCCTGAGATAGTTAAAAAAAAAAAAAGTAGCCGGTAGCTATATTTTCAAAATTACATATGATCTCAACTAACTCTGGCAATGTATTTGAAAGAGCACAAAAATATTGTATAAATTGAGACAGTCCAGTATACAAATGTGAAAAGTAAGTATGGAAAAAATATGGTAAATTTAAGATAAAAAAGCTTTCAGAAGAATGTCCAGAAAAACTTAAGAATGTTGAAATTTTTTAATCATGGAAGAGAATATCGCAATATGGATTGAAAGACTGAAATATGAAATATATATAAGACAGTATAGCAGGGTGCTCGCGAACTGGGCACTATCAGTTAAAAGATAACTTTTCAAAAGGACTTGAACTCCAGCAAATAAAACAATTTTTAAAGAAATCTGCATATATTGAAATCCGGTGTAAAATTCAGTTAGAGAGAAATGACCCTGGAGTTGCTAAGATGCAGACAATTTCTTTCTAGAGGCTTTCCAATTAACTAACTCCCTATCGCCTTCAGGCAATCTACTTGTGGCCCAGAACAGCCATGAGTTCAGAGCCAGGTAGTTATCACCGAGGATCAGACTGAGTCAGACAGTTCTGTGACTTCTGTGCTGCCCAGAAGCAAAGCTGACAAACCCGGTTTGACCTACATTAGCTGCATAGTATCAGCACAGTTCTTCCTGTACCACCTTCCTTCCTATACAGAAACCCTACAGATGCTCCTCAAAAGCTCCTGCACAGCCATTGTTTAGATTCCAACTCTTAATTCCAATAGTTGGTACCTCTGGCATTTTGTGTATGGTATCACAAAAATGGCTTGGTTCAGTGTTGCATCCAAGCCAAACAGTCCTGGAAGGATCAGAAGTGCAATACAGGAATGCGCAAGTTGGCTACATAAGTCAATTCAAGACCATATTTTTTAGCACTAGGCATGCCATTAAATATTTTGTAAAAAATTATAAAATTGTATGTGCAACAGTTTATCTTATAGATTTAATTACCATTATTCATCATTATGCAAGTAAAGATGAAGTGTAGCCAATTTTCTAAAGATGAAAAAGACTGCAAAACATTTTATACATTTAAATTGGGAGTGGCCTTCATTTCTTTGGAGTGCACAGCATTCCTTGGGGTGCAGGGGGCATCCATCTACTTCTAAATTAAAAAAAATACCTTTCCTCCCATATTTGATTCATACCCCTATTTTTTTATCTTTCCAATTTATTGTCTCCTGGAGATCAAACACCTCTTTGGTTATGGAGTCTATAGTCTCCTGCATACGTTGGTTCTCCTGTAGTAAATAGCATAAGGGAAGAATAAAAGAGGAAAGAGAAGTAAGGAAACAGGAAAAAAAACAAACATTCAAATAGATAAAGGAAATTAAGTAATAAAAGTCAACCAAAGAGTTTATGGGCATGAAGTTACAGAAACAGCATGCAGCTTAATGTAATATATTTCTTATGAATTTATGCAAGAGAATGGTAATTAATTTTATTCAATCAATATTGATGGGAGAATTTAATGCAGCTAGAGCTACTTTTCTTTAGTAATCGTTCCCACTGCAGTCTGGGGATAACATTCTTTCTACAGAAATATAATTACCCTGGTTGTAATTTCTACACACTTTCAAGTCCCCTTCGGAAGTGAATACTAATGTTAACGAGTGGTTTTATTAATGTTTTACAAAATAAAAAAAATCTTCTTGAAAGTATAGAGAGTTTGAATTAAGCATCCAGGAAGCAAAAGACAGCTGCTTATACTGCTTTCTGCTACTATATGAATACATATTGAGCATGGTCCAACTTTTTAGCTGACTATCACTGCATTTTGCTGCTTGTCCTGCAAACATAACTAAAATTCTTAGGTGTGATGTCATAAGAATTTTTAGGGCTAGAGACCATTGTTTTCCCTCTTAACGAGTAGACTCGATTTTACATCTGGGAATGGAAGGCAAAGTCTTTCTCCAAAAAGGTACACGGTTTCAGCTAGATTTTCTGTTAGTGTTGATAGATGGAGAAATTGCTCAAATAAGTGGTAAATATGGGTCAAATCTTTGAAGAGACTGAATGCATTTGTGAATATTCAACATATGCTACATTCTACCAAAACAAACATTCCAGGAAAACCCACTGCATATTCTTGATTAGTATACTTAAAACCCGCCAAAACACAACAAAAACCCAAACAAGATCATATAAGGTTGTTTTTCAATTCTCAGTGAAGTCAAAGATAATCTAGAGCACGTAACAGAGCTACAACCCAAATTTTCTACAGATTTTTTGCTTGTCAGCATTTATGTGACTCAAAATGCTGATAACTTAGGCTAATCTTATTCCTTTTCTTCTGCTAGTAAATCGTATCAGCTCCAGTTCATGATGCATATTACTTTCAAAACAGAACTGGGACTTTTCAGAAGTCTTTTGGAGTTACTGTACTCCAGAGAGCACAAGAACATAGTGAGGAAATAAAGGATCAGTGAAATATTACATAGCTTTTGAAAATCAGATAGTGGAAACTTTGGCCCATACACTTAAAAATCATCAATTTTTATTAAAACCAAAGGGCAGTGGGAAAATGATGTACTAATTGAACTACAACTTTCAATGTTTTAACTAAAATCATTGGGAAATGGACACCCACAAACTGTTGACTATACATATATATATATGTATATACATGTATGACTATACATATATATCTATATCTACATCTATCTATATATATATATGTTTTTGTGGACCATTTTAAAATGAAGACTGATAATAGGTCTGGGATTTTAGGGCACATGGATTTGTTCCCAGAAGGGCAAAAGGGAAAAAGAACAGGGTGAGAGGGGACAAGAACATACCGCACACCCAGCAACATGGTTATGACCCAATAACATGCTGACCAGTGTTGCTATATTTATGCTTGCCTAGTAAGCAAACAAGCAGTCATACTGCAAACTTCAGTGGCTGATGTTCACAAAAATCTGAAATAACTGAAATGGAAACTTTTGGGAAAGGCAAAGAATAACATTTGATATTATCCACGCATCAGAACTTCTAGATATGGAAAAAGATTTTGGTCATACAAACACTAGTTCTGTCCTCACAACAAAGAAAAGGTACTAGGAACATTCATGAGAGAACCACAACTCTCACAAGAATTAAGCATGTTACAAGATGTAACATATTTGAAAACCTTGCAGAGACATTTTCAACTTCACAAATTTAGGGAGATAGTAGCTTAAATTCTACCCACTAAAACAAGATAAATTCTTTCTTAAAAATGCAAGATAATATTCAATCCTGTTTTGTATATGATGGCTGTTCCCATTCAAAGTTTACACCATATTTATTTGCACAAGTTCTATCATACACTATCTCATATGAACATACCTCTATCAATTCATCTCTCTGTCGAAGGCCCTCTTTTAGTTCATCCAGCTTATGCTGCAGAATATTGCAGGTGTGTTTCTGTCTTTCCAATTCCTATATTAAATAAATCAATTATTTATACTTCTTTTGAGTTAAGTAAGAAATATGCAACAATTTGAGAAATTCTACCTAACAAGGTTTTAAAAAAAAAATCACTGAATCAGTGTTTCAGGTAAGTTCTCCAGATATGACACGGAAGACTTTATTTCATTAAAGGTAAAGGAGAGAGAAAAGATGCCATAAAGGCTTAAGCGCGATATTAACAAGAAAAGCTGATCCAAAAGTTTTCAACTGTTCTTACTAAGTAGTCCAGAATTCTATAATTTATAATTAGAAAAAAAATACCTTTGACTTCTCTTCATTCTCCCTATAGAACTCTGCTATCTGTTCTTCTTTCTCCTCAATAACGTCCTTTAAAGTATCCACTTGGTAAACCAAGTTGTTTTTCTCATTGTCTAGTTGAGCATTGGAAACCATAGCTTTCTTGTACTTCTCTTCAACTTCAGCTAGCGAATCCTATAGATAGCAGAAAGGTTTACATTAGTCTAACTTTTTGATACAGTTATAATGTTAAAATATTCCCTTTAGATATATCAAGTCACAGTTCAATTTCCATTATTCAAGTTAGGTTATACATAGCAATGAAAAGTTGTCATTACAAAGGTATGAAAAATATAAGATAATATTCATTGGCATTTTCTATTCTGCCACCTTCAAAACTTAACTCCCAGGGATACAGTAGTAGTGTCACAGCTTTATAATATTTTCAAGGCATGCAGGAGAAAACACTTCAGAATGAGGCAAAAAACTGACAGAGAGAACTCAGACAATTAAATCACTACAAGAGATCACAAAAATATTTCCAAGAGTAGCTTTAACTTAATGCTCATTATTTAAGTAGTGCTCTATTACCTTAGACTCAAAGTTTTAAGATGGTCACATTATTTCAGTAATAAGGATTCTCTGTTTAAGCAGACATTTTGTCTTTATATTTCTTACTAAGATTAAAAAAATAAAAGGCATGTAAAGATTCACATGCTTGATTCTCTACCTGAAGGTGCACGTATGTCTTGCTGTACATCCTCTTACACCATTCTCTCCCATTTAACATTTTATCCTATTTTTAATTATCCTACTGTTTTTTTTCAGTACTGTAACAAATGTCAACCATTTAACTACTTGGAACAAATATCACTCCAGGCACTTTTAAACATGTAATTATTTCAATAAGCATTATGATCTTCTAGGTCTATTCCAACCCCTTCATGGTCTATGATTGCATGATTTTAAAAATATAAAAACTGATTTTCTCAGAGTCCTAATTTTAGAATTGAAAAATAACCACTGAGCCAATTACTTTATGAAGTACATCTGTGACCTACTACAAATCTCCTAGTATTTCATGTAATCTGTTCCTTGAAGGCATAAGTAGCACAATCTCCATTTTTAATTATTTGTATTATGACAGTAGAAATACTAGCACAGGAAGGGCATGAAGCTTGGATTTTCCAGACAACAGAGCACTAGGACTAAGATATTAAGGGAGAAGGTGGTAACAACATAAGTTTCTTAAGAAAACACTGAAGAGTGCTATCTTTTGTACAGTAAAGTTACGCAAACATTTTTGTTGCAGAATTATATTCATGTCTTCTTTTAGAAATACCAAGTCACGGTTCAACATTCTGCTATAAGAAACGCAAAAAAAAACCCCTATCCCCAAACCCTATTCCATGTTGTAAATCTCCATTTTGAGAAAGCTGTCCTTTAAGTATGTATTTTTCCTTTTATAATTTTATCATAATCACATTCATTCACTGAATTCCAGAATTTTCTGCTGGAGAAATACAGTTTTTCAGAAACCCCAGAAACAATAACTTAAGATATATCCAGACAGACCACAGATCAGAAGAGACAAAACAGTTTAAGGTACCATTATCATCTGGGAAGCAGTAAATAGCAAATAGCAAAGATGAGTCAGGATAAAAGGAAAAAAATAAAATAATATACATAAATGCATTTCAAGTAATTCTTAAGATTAAAACCAGAGAAAACATTTTTGTGGTGCTGTGTGACCAGTTATGTAAAGATTGGAAAAAAAATGCTAGAGACAGCAAACCTTCCAAAGACTTTCAAAGAATAATCCACTTTAGAGGAAAAAGAGAAAAATACTAGGATTATAGTGAATGCTATAGTAATTTTATGGGGAGACATGAAATTTAACAAAAAAATACAACTAGGAAAAAAATTCTGATTTGATTGTTTCTGTGAATGTGGTGATTGCGGTCACGTAGTATTTTAGGTTGGCAAAGATCTCCGAATGCCATCTGGTCCAATCTCCTAATTAAACAGGGCCAACCAAGATCACACTGCTCACAGCTCATCTCCAGTTCATTTTAAGTATCTTCAGGGATCTAGACCACAGAATCTTGTTGGGTGACTTGTACCAGTGTTTGCCTTCCTTGTGTAAAGTCTTTTTCTTGAGCTCTAAGCGGAATTTCTGCTCCTAACAATGCAACTTTTGTCTGTTGCACCCTTAGAAAGGTGTCTGCCCTGTATTCTCTACAGCCTCCTATAAGATACTCTGATAACGACTGGCATGCATCTGGCACACACCTGTATACTGCAAACCAACCCTCCAAAGGTCAAAGGCCATTTTCTCAGCCTTTTACTGTATGCCACATGCTCCAGGACTCCAGCCTTAAAGAGAAGATTAGGTTGGGGTTTAAAACATGGGACTAAAATATCAGTAATCAGTAAGTTAATTTGGGGGAGGAGAAGGTGTGGAATCTGCAGTTATGGAAGAGGAATAAATTGGAGACTAATAAGTGAAAACTGCTTCTGAGAGAGAATTTAAGCTATGTCAAAGAGTCTCTGATGGGTTAAAAAAAATGGAACATTGCAAAGACTTCTTTGAAACTGTTTCTTCTTTTCAAGTTAAGTATTACACATGTCCCCTGTGGTTCAAGAATTCCACATTATTTCAGAAGTCTTCCAGTTTGATGAAAAATAATATGGATTTTAATTAATTTCTGAAACACTTTAAGGAGGCAGTGGGACTTCTAAGGATGAAGCAGTGGGAACAGGTCAGAATGAAAATGGATAAGGTTCTGCACATAACCTAAAGCTATGAAGAAATACCACCCACAATTCTATCAGTAAAGTCAAAGGATTATAAAAATTAGCCTGCTTGGCTAGGACAAGATCATTCAATACAACAGACATCAAGAGAGTGCACTGTTAACAGCATAAAAGAAAAATTTTGAGGAAAGAAAAAGGATTCCTTTCTAGTTGATGCAAAGAAATATAGAAAAGACCAACAAAACTGAATGAAACTGAGACACGAAAAGATTTGAAGACCTAACTAAATCACAACTACCCACATTAGAGTTTATTCTGCTGACATCCAGCATATTTGTAGGTAAAGCTCACACTTTTAGCATGGATGGGCAACCAGAGAGATCAGAAGGTAGTGTGATTAAAAATATCTGTTACTCAACCACTGAAAACAATCCCCTTAAAAGCAGTGTAAATGGAGGTATGCTAGTACCTCTTCTAAAATACACAAGACAAAACTGCTAAAGCACAAGTTGAGGAAAAGGCAATACCTTCCTAATTAAAAAGAAGGGTTCCTGAAAGAATCTCTGTGGAATGCAAATTAACTTAGGAACACATTATTTAGTATTAGCAACAGCATAAAACGCAATTCAATTCTGAAAGCCAAGCTTAGATGAAGATCTTACTATTTACTGCACACTGTGCTCTTTGGTAACTGTAATGGATTACAATAAATAACAATGCATTAGCAATGATTCAGAACAGTAGTCATGAGATGCTAGCAAACATGCAAAAGCATGAGAGTTAGATCCATTCTGAAAATATGAAGCAATCTCACATTACATTCAATCACAGATATGTCTAATAATCTTGTAATCTATTGTGCTTTGAAGTGTTTTTAACATTCATATGGCAATATAATTAAAACAAAACATACTTCATCTGAGCATATGGCTATCAGATTCAAAGTTACTTATCCTCTAGAGAGGTAATAATTTTTGCTGCACTGAACAGCTCAAATTACATATTTTCTCTTTACAACACCATCTAATACACTGTTTAATCAAAGAAATTCAAGGAAGCTGTTGAATACTGTTACATGCTCTAGTACAAGAAGCATCGATCAAATTTAGTCTATATGTGGATATAAAACAAATATGGAAAGATCTCTTTACTTTTATGTGAAACCATTCACAATTAGATAACGGGAAAGAGAACAGAACAAACATCCTGAAAAAGATTTTTAAGCCACATCATTTGCTGTATTCAGTTTCCTTCAACACAGAGCAGGTGAAAATAATCATACTTTAATTTAGCTGAACTGTTAACTGTGTGAAAACTCAAAAAAGAAAAGTATACACACTAGTATGAATGAGTCAAAATATAGATAAATCTCATGTGGGGGACTACGCTTAGTGCAGGTAGCTTGGTGTGCGGCTGCAGTGCAAACTGCAGGTTGCGCCCTGCATGGGGGAAAGAGCTGGACCTCCTAGCAACGAGACACAGCAGGAGCCGGTGGCTCAGCAGGAAGACCCCAGACTATCGCAGGCATAGACTGCGATGGCTGCCCAGTGATTGCTTGGTTCAGGGTCCCTCCTTGGAGGCACCCAGCTAGAGCTGGTTTTGCGTTGCTGCACCATGATAAAACTACTTAAAGGAACCAGACATCTGGGACTCTTCTATTGGAAACCTGGGGCTGGGCTGGTAAGGAAACCCTGTCTGACAGTGACAGTGGTGTGTGAGTGGAGTCAGTGGAGCCACCCGCTGTGAAGGAGCTTCGGTTCCACCAGGGAAAGTCTCGGGTGATGGGAGTGTGATTGCCAGAGTGACACCTGGATGGTCAGACAGGAAACTTTCCTTAACACTCATTAACCTAATGTTGAAAAAATCAATCTACTATTTAGACAAGCATAATGGCAACACAAAACCATAAACATAAAAAAAAAATTTTCTTAATGGCAAAAGATTAAAACAAAATTCTCCTGCAAGCAATATGCCTGCCCAAATTGATTTCAGCACATCTGTCAAAATTATTACTTTGGCTTTGCTTTATAAGATGTGGTATTTCCTGAAACTTGGAATACTAGTTCTTATGTTCTTTGCCATAACTATCTCCCATTTTTTTGTTCTCCATTCAATACCTAGTCATTATTTAGAATATCTATTTATTTGCTAAGAAAAATCTAAAAAATACAAATTGAACCTCTCATAATCTTACCAGGAAACACCCATATACAAATAAACATTAAAGTTTAATACTCTTTTAACATTAATCAAATAATGACCATATACCACCTCATGTACATTTTAAGCTGATGCTATTTATGCATTAAAAGTTAGATACATGCTTTAAGAAAATTTAAAAATTTGTTAGTAAAGCCACTATATGTTAGCAAAATCAGTGATAACTCCACTACCCAAAAACACCCATACAGAATGCATGCTTGGGAGGAGCCCTGATACCTTTAGTTCTTTAAGTCCCTGCATGTATCTCCCTTCTACATCGTGTATCTGGTCCTTAAGATCATAGATATCCTGCAGGACATAGGAACGAACCATTGCATAAGAAGTATGGGGAAATAATTAATAGTCAAAAAAGCATTAAAAGGTTTAACATGCACTTCTGTCAAATGACAAAGCCTGTAATAATTCCCAGAAATTATAATTAATTCACAACAACTTCATGGAAATTAGATTTTGTTTATATCCCCGAATCCAAGATATCTTGAATAGGACAGAACTGTTTGAAATTTGACATAAACATAGTTTTATCTTAATATAAGCTAAACTGTTAGCACCATAAAGACTTATGAACACAACAAATAAAATTACCAGATAAGGAAATCCCTCATGATTGAAAATTATATCCTCATAACTTTTTCTTATTATTACAGAAGTTCTGTATTTAAAAAAAAAATCCTCCTATTTAAAACTACCTATAAATTATCTGAAAATGCAATTTACCCGTAATTCACTGAGGGAGGCATCAGGATCCACCAAAATGCTTGCATCTCCACTTCCTCTCCTAGACGAATTGCCGCTCAGAGGAGTTGCACTTACTGAATTGCGAGATGAGGGCTTAAAAAGGAAAAAAACATTGTATCAGCAATGATATGGTTGTAGCTGGTATCATTGCCATTACTCTTTATAAATTTTTTCACAGTCACGGAACAGTTTTCTCTCTTGTTTTTCTAAATATTAGTTTATAGACAATGTTTTCCATAATTATTTTCCAACAGTTGTGTTTCTTCTTGGTGAAATGTTGATTTCTCTTTGATGACTTACTAGTTTATCAGAACATTAGAATTTTGAGTCATCGGTCCAGAAGACACTCATAAGGTGGCTGGTAGTGCCAAAATACTGTGGAAGTTTACAATATTACTAAACATTATAATTTCTGTCATCAAGGATTCAAAAGAAGTCTCCAGTGAGAATCTAGCATATGGGTTTTTATAGCCTTAGCCTCTTAAAATTTTGCCTTTCCTAATAAATATCTCTAACACGAAAATAAATTGTATAGAAAATTATTACTGGCTGTAAGTAAACTAAACAACAAAATTTTTTCCTCAGGAAATAAAAGACAAAAAGCATTACTTTTGAGAGATAAAAAATATGTCTAAAAATATCTCTGCTAAAAATACACAGCATTTATACTTTTTGCACTATTTTAAAAATTGTAAACTTGTGGATGAACAATGACTTTAAATAATTTTTAAATTAGGATCTCTTACCCTTGAAAATAATTCTGAATGTGATTTTTCACTCTTTTCTTCCAGCTGAAAGAGAATAGAGAATGTGATTACCTTTTGCTATGAGGGACTACTGAATCAGCATCTTTTGTTCAAAGACACTGAGAAATATTTAAAACCAAAAAACTAAACAATTCCAGATGTTAGCATAGATCAAGACAGGAAAAACAATATTAACTGCAAAATAAATTAATGCTTGTAAAGAAAAAAACAGAAGCTCCTTTTTAAAAGTTTTTAAAAAGTCATTACCGGTACTGAACAAAAACCATGTTTAAATTTCAACAGAGTAGTGACTACAACACTTGGTGACAGAACAAACACAAAGCTTCATGCAAGTACACTTCAGGCAGTCAGTGACAGCAGTGTGAATGTCCTAGTTAACAGAAAACACATTTGTTATTTCCATCTCTTTGATAAAACCTGCAATTGCATAGGACAAAACTGATTCAGGTAAAAGCCCATAACTAAAGTGTACTAATTGATAGCAACCTACAAAATAATTTCAATTAATATTTTATGTATTGAAGCCTAAGCAAAAGAACTACAACACCCCCTTCTTATTCAGGAAACTCTGCTATTGCAAAATTATATTGTAGATTTTCACATTTTCTACATTTCTATGAATCAAAATAGGTGGAATTAGACATGTTGCCATATTATCAAAACAAGTATTTAGTATGGTATCTGAAACATCTTGCTTCTCTGAGAACACTGGTTTTTCTCCCAGGCCAGGGACAAGAGATTTTGAAGTCCATTGCAATCCCAGCAGAAACAAATGCTACTTTATAAGACCTTTCTTTTTCCTTCTATTGTGGTTTCTATAGAAACAACATTGCTTTTCCAGGACAAATTCACCATCTCCAATGATGTACTGAAATTGTAAATTGCAAAATTTGTCACCATTGAGATGATAAAATGATGTGAAGAAACCAATTGATCTGAAGTATACATTTAGACTACTCTAAATAAATATCTAAATCTGGAATCCAATAATACATAATGATGATGATAAAAGCAACTGAGAAGGTAGCATAAACACCAGTCTCAGCCTCCACATTTTCTTTCAGCAGAGCGCTAATTTCATAAAATCAACTTGATTATGGAAAAAACCCCTAAAGTTTAAGCTAGAGAAATTATCAGTCTTTGAGGATGTACAGATGACAAATAATGTGCATTATTACAATACAAGTTAGATAGCACTGTAACAGTATTAAAATAGCATCTAAATGCAAAGTCACAGAAAGAGTTGTTGCATGAGTACTCCAGCTTTCAGCTTCCCATTCAAAGCGGAACTGCTGCCAACAGTCCAAGTCAGCTTTGGCTTTAATCTAGCTAAGTCTCACCAGCCTTGTTGTAACTCACCAGAGTGCAACACTAACCTAATTGTAGAGCTTCTTGCAGTGCCTAGTCTGAACTGACTAACTGCAGTGTAACGCTGCCGGCCCTTGCTTCACTGCTTGGCAAGGGTACGAAGACTTTGGTTCTCACCCAAGCAAGCACTTGCATGCTGCTGATCACCACACAGCATTCCATCTGCTCAACTAAATAAGCACAGTATTCGCAATCTCTCTGCCTAGTGCATGGGCTAACTCTGACCATTATTGCAAAAGACAAAAGAACAGAAATTTCCGTTTTTCCCCACACTATTAAACAGAAAAGTTTTGACTGCAAGTAACAAGAACTTTTAGAACTTACAGCAGCAAGAAAGAGAAGGCAGCTAGGTTTGGTATAAACAATGTTCAGGCTAACGCATGCACAGGAAAACCATCACAATAATTTTCCTGTAACATGATCTATTGACTTGGGATGGAGTACAAGTGCATAGCCAACAAGGAGTGCTTCAGTAATGGATCCTGACAAAATCTCATATTGGATGAATGAACACTGTGGGCACAGTTTTAAGTATTTTTGTCACTCAAACAAGTAATAATATTCCAAAAGTAAACAACTCCCCCCCAGCACTGTTAATTTTCATAAGAAAAAACCTAAACATTTTACATTTTAAGAAATTCTTGAGCTTATCACACACAGAGGAAAATGTGAAGTGTTACACTTGTTGCATGCTTCTAGCAACAAGCAAAATCTCCTTTAAAGTAAAGCAGCATGCTTTTAAAAAATTCACTCAAGACATTTTCATACAAAAAAGAGGCCCACCCCCAATAAACCTATTTTCAATGAAGTAACTGTGAATGCGTTTACAGTATTTATTCTTTCAGAGTATGAAAAAAAAATTCACGGTTAGTAAGTTTGCTGCATTCCCCACAGTGTAACAACAAGCATTACACTCACACTATTCAGGCCTTGGCCATCATCTGTATCAGAAACAATGCTTCCCCTGCGGTTGGAACGACTAAAATAGTCAGCAGCAGTTTCACTTTGATCAGAAAAATCAGGGGACTTCAAAAGATAAGGAGAAAGGTGAAAGACAACTGAAGATGACACCATAGAATGAACAAAAAAAAAACCAAACAGGAAGTCCTAACTTAAATCTTTGTTATTGCAATTTATTCTTGCTTTTCTAACAGTTTAACATCTTAAAATTTTAATTACTCTTCAAGATTTTTGCTATTTTAAATGAATAAAAAGTGTGCCACATTGATATATTTTATTTGTGCCATATTGACATATTTAGCATAGGCATTGTTTTTAAGCACTCTTCACGTTTGTTATTCTTAATAGTTCACCAAATCTAAAACTAAAACCAATGAACACTTATTATTGCATTATTTTTCTCAATTGGAGTAATACAAAAAAATACAATCAGATACAAAAGGGTTTAGTACTAATTTAGGGCCAAACACAAATACAAAAATTACCTTTTAAAAAAAGTTTGCAGACCATAAAGACAGATAATAAAATTAGAAGTTGATAAATAAAAATTATTACTTTTCTCTACAAATGCTGTCTTTTTTTCAAATCAACACAAACCCAACAGTGCTAGTTGAATATGATTATGATCTGGGCTTCCTCTCATTCATAATTTTAAGACATCTTACATTAGAAGGCAAGCTTATTCCCCAAAGATGAATGTCAGACAGGCACCTAAAAAGGTGAGGAAAAAAATGCCAACACTACACATCACTTGTCAAAAAGGGTAAAATATATCTAATCACATTACAATAATTACAACTGCCATGGGAATTCAAGTGAATTATTCAACTGAGAAACATTATGCACATTAAACACAGTATTTAATGAGAAGAGTAGGTTTATCATGTGTATTGATAATATTCTTCTTCAAAAGACAGAAAGTTACAGTGAACATTATATTTAGTTTTAAAAGTGATTATAAAAGAGAAAAATCTTTATATGAACAGTTTGAAAGTATCCAATTCTCACTGTTGAAAAAAATTATTTCTTTGTACTTGGTGTACATGTAGCCTCATTCCAATTAAAAGACAGTGAGGTGTCTTCTATGCAAATGTATATAGATATTACATGTATAACGGGTATACATAAAACAGTTTGCTGATGAACACCTGGCTCCTTATGCAAGTTTAGGACTACAGAATTTGTATTTGTTGCCACTGCTGTTATGTTCTATTTCTCTGGCAATGAACTTCCAGCTGTAACTACATCTACATTTAAAATAATATCTTTATTTTTTAAAATGTAACAAAGTAGATAAATTTTCATATTTGGAAATTTGGCTAAACTTTCTTATTTCACTTGCATTTCACAAAGTATAAATGTGCTGAACAGAATTCTTCATATATGTATTATAATTACAGCAAAAGAACAACAATTCGGGCTACAATATATAACAACACTGTGTTATTTCATTCAAAATCCACTTATCTGCCCTGTTAAAAAGTTCGTATATCTGACAAACCTTGCTCTTCCTCCTTCTACACCTTTTGTACTTCTAATATCCTTCTCAATTGGTTTATCAAAACTGATACATTCTAAGATGGAGTTTCTCACCAGTGTTTTCTGTTTCCATCTTCTCTGCTGCTTGCTCTTTTGATTCCCAAAGAGTACTAAGCTGACTTCAAACGCATTATCCAGAGTGAAATCAAAATACAAACCACAGAAATAGCAGAAAGTGAATGTGTAATTATTCCTAAGATTTTTACCTCATCTGCTTTGCAAGATTATTTCATTAAACAAATACTGTGAACTCTATTAAGCATTCACTTGTATGAGTGAATGGTACCTTGGCATTATTGGTATAACACATGCATACTGAGATATGATTATATATATTCCTATATATCTATAAAGTGTGTACTTTAAAAAATGAATCTCAGTGTCAAGAAAAACTAAGGAGACTAGTAGTATTTTGTCAGTTCAAGAGACTACAAATGGATGTTAATACCTCTTAGGTTTTGGAATTTCATAAAGCAACAGCAAAAATACCTTTTTCCTTCACCCTCAAAAATTCACTCTGATATCTGTCCAAGCTAAAAACATTCATTTCTGAAAAATCTGGTTCTATTTCTTTAGTATCTGTAACACTGTTAATATGTGAAAGATTAAAAAAGGACTGAACATTTCTATTTAGCCCAGACCAGAACACTGATTCTACTTTTTATTCTGGATAGCACGACAAACGAGCAGCTGCACCAATGAAACTAAGACAGTTGTTCTGTGGCAGAAGCAAAGTAAAACTATTTAAAATCACTTTGCAGCACAAAACACCAACTTTGGAAGGACACTTTTAATACAATAAAGATCCGGAAATTAATTTCTCTCAATTTTGAATCCCGGTCACCATAAAAATGAGCAAGCTACTTCTTACTGCATAATATAACAAAGTTTGCATTAGTCCTCTTCCCCAAGAGAAAGACTTTTCCACATGTATTGAAGTAAGTTTCATGTGCTTGCCCCAACTATGACACAGGGTGGCACCCCCGACAATGTACTATACTTCAGTTACCAGTTGCTTCCAATTATATAGATTACAAACATTTAAAAGATGTTTAAAATACCAAATTCCTTCTTCCTTCTACAGCTTACAGTCCTACTGCTAAAACTTTACATCTTGCTAAAAATCACACCTCTGTCTGACAAATTAAATTTCTTTGATGTGGAATTGAAAAATCAAGTCTGTGCGTTGGTCAGCAAAACGATCCCAGTGTACAGACTCATAACTGTTGGTTAGTATCAAAGCATTCAGCCAATCATGCAAGAGGAATGCTCACCACAGGACTACTTCGGACTGAGCTTGCTCTTGAGGAATAACTGTATTCAGATGGCTAAAGAAAAGTTATGAAGGACATTTTCACAATTTTCATAGATTTTTGTCTACAGAAAACAAAGACAATGAAAGAAACAACCAAAAGCCTATTACACTTAAGAGTGTAAGAACTATATGAGTTCCATCACCACACAATGAGGCCTGAGAAAGAGGGAATGAAATACCATTTATATCCAGTCTCAGAAATTATCATGCCACACTCATACACTGTAATTCTTATGCACTGTCACATAATTCATCTTATCTAATTCAGTTATTATTATACTTTTTGAAAGGACAAACAAATTTTAAAGATTTTCAGCAGCATTTACTATTGCTACTAGGGATGTCTATTTTGAAATATAGATCTAAGAACTCCCTTGAAAACTAGTCAAATAGTTTTAAAAAATCAGATCTTAACTATTTGCATAATAAAACAAAGGAAAATAAAATATTTAAATTGCAATTTGGTTTTAACTGTTCTGAAGCCTTCAGAAGTTTTAACATACCCTGGGAACTGAAGTTATGCTGTACACTTATCAGTTTTATTTTATGCTCACCCATGCAGGTTTTCCTGAAGGAGGGTGTTTAAAGGTGCAAGACTGAAATCAATTAATGCAGTGGATAATAAAAACAGTTCTGTGTAACACAATTTAAAAAGAAAAAAATTTACAGTTTCATGCTGCTTTGGTCCTACCTATGAAGAGATCTCTAGCAGCAAATAGAATTACATGTATAATCAAAACTATATGTAATAGCAGTCACTATGGTCTTGTTCTTTCACTGAATCTTCTAACGTTTTCTTGAGAATATGCACAAAACCAAAAATCTATTTGGAATCCAAATGCAGGACAAGACCTCACTAACTACTTAAAAATATTTCATAAGAATACTTGACGATATTTTACATAGGTTTAGCATGTCTCTAAATGGCAGTATAATTCGGATTTGAACTACTGTGGCAGCAAAAGACAAAGTTTCAGGCATGCATGTCACTTTTAAAGATAACCTTTTGTAGAGCTATCTTAGTTATTCTTATGGCACTTCTAGCTACTTTTTATTTTGTAGAGATGCAGATTGGGTTTTCATGCTATTGCATTTTTGTATGTTTATTAAATTTAAATAAGGCATCCTATTTAAAGGTATTCAAAGTGTATTTATCACAAATTTCAGTAATCTCCTGACAATGACTTTTCCTATTCAAATGCTTAACTTCTTCAAATACTTTTTTAATATTATACACGCGGTTGTTATTTAGTATGCTTGGATTAACTATTACTAACCCTAGTGTTCTTCAACATCATTGCTGCATTCAGAAACATTATGTTTGTCTGTAAAAAGAACAGTAACACTGCAACTACTGAAATACTTTAAAAACTGATACTTCTTAACAAACCAGTGCTTAAAGAAGGAGACACCTATGAAGAAAAGTGTCATTTTATATTTCTGTGGGCCATTGAAACATATAAAGAAAAGTGAGATATTATTTTACATTGTACTAACCCTGTAAATCCTAGTTGGTGCCACTGGATAACTGTATAGAGCAGACGACTATAGCGTGAAGAATAGAAAAAGTCAGAAACACTTTTTCTGTGTACATAATTTTTTTTAATCTATTACTCTATATTCCCTAAAAGTTCTAAAGATTTAAATACTACATTTTATATCTATAATAGACAGGAATTTTAAGAAAAGTGTGGAAAAAACCTCCAAGAAAACTGGTTATCTTTGAAATCAAACTAAAATATTAATTAAAGCAAACTAGTATACTTGTGGAAGAGAATGATAAGAAATTAAGTAGTTTTTAAATGACATGTCAATTTCTTCTAGCTACTTATTTAAACCTGACCATGACAGTAGCTGCAGGTACTGGAAGATACTACTCATCTCATGACAGAGCATTTATATTACCATGAAAAAATAGTAGTACAATGCTGCTAAATATTTAAGACTCTTTTTTGTTGTTTTTAAAAGATAGGAATTGGAAACAGCAACTGTCACAGCTGCTGGTTGTTTTTCATATATCATACAGCAATCATGAAACAGCAGTTATTTGAAATTTAAAATGCCACATATGCAAAACACAACAGTAATCTACATATCATACATTACTTTTATAACAGATAACTGTAACTACTATTGAATGTAATAATTTGAAATGTCATAGAGGGAAAAAGAGAAGTTTGCATCATATAGCATAAGTAAGTAAACCCAAATACACATATTTTATATAAATAATGAAATTAATATAAGAAAAGGAGACAGACCCGAATATGGTAGGAAGGAACTGATTTACTATATCCAAGGCTGCTATAATTTCTTTGATCATAGTAAATTCCACTCTGAGGGTGAGGAGGGAAAGAAGAGAGAAAACAAAGGTTGCATCTGCAGATCTTGTAAATAAAAGTTCTATCTTAACATTGCCCAAGTGTTCCCAAGCTTAGAACTTGTACAGAACGCTGTAAAGTTTTGCCTTTGGTTGACTCAAAACTTATATAAGCATAAAATCCCCAAAACTACTATGTACTCTCTCTATCAGCATTATTTAGATTTTAATGCCATGCTCAACCAAAATAATAAATAATTTTGCGACTTTTTCCTCCTTAATAAATAAGAAAACTCCAGAAGTTTGACAAGTGCAGCATGAAATACATAACTGACAAAACTTGCTAATAATTAGTACAATTATTTACTTGATCTTTTTTCCATTAGATATCATCATAAATCAAAGCAGTTTGGGGGGAGAGAAGGACAGAAATCCCTAATAATTTAATAGGGGCTGAATGTTTACATGAGCAGCGTTAGCCTGTACCCTACCGCTGTTCTTTACACGCATACTGAAGTGCACATACTGAAAGTCTGGCTCATTTCGGTTGGGTTTTGATACTTTCTACTCAAATTGTGTATTTATGCAAATGTTGGGCAAAAAATTTATATACACATACAAAAAAGAAAAACCAGACAGAATAAGAGATGGCAAAAAGTAGCGCCTGAAGAATGCAGTACTTCATATCTCAATAGGCAACAGGAAGCAGAAATATTCATATTATTTATTTAGGAAGTGAGGGAAGAGGAAAATAGCACCTCAAAAGTGCATGAAGAAATGCTGTAATACAATAAAGGTAAGTAAATACAAAAATTACTTCAGCCTTGTCTCAACTCAAGTGTCCACTGGTGCTCTAACTCCCCAAACCCCTGATACAACCACTAATTCATCAGCACCAAAAACACTCTGAAAAAAGACATGCAAAATATTTCATTTATTGACACTATATTCACATGTTATACACCAAACTTTCCAGAATAGTTTCTCCAAGATCCCAGTAATCCACATGCCTTTCTCAATAAGTCACTGGGTTAACGTCAAGGTCTATGGTAAATTCAATCTGCTTTACATGTATATTTAAAATATTTCTAACTATTCTGATAGGGGACAATAATAATAATAATAGTAATTATTATTAAACTTTGATCTGGAGAAGTAGCACTGTTAAATAGTTCCAAGAGCCTTCCCCAGACCTCCAGCAGATTGAGATTTCTATTTAGATGATTTCATTGATGCTATTGCACTGATACAAACACACTGGAGGTCAGAATCTGATAAATACTAGAGATTTCTTTTTTTCTAAAAACATTTATGCAAATGTCAGTAAGCTAATTAATTTAACCATAACTGTATCAGTATATAACTCTACATACTTTGTATATTTGTAATGAATACCATATAGAAAACTAACCAATAAATCTTTATGGGAATAAGCTTTCTTCTTTGAACTATGAGATTCACTGTAAACATGACTCTAAGAATAAAAATTACAAAATTAATACCGCTATATAACAGTATCTTCAGTCTTAAAATATAAAGAAGTCAAACATAAGGATTTAAGGCTTTTTCACCTAACAACAGAAACACCACAGAAATTCTAACTACATGACTAGAAAAACAGGCCATGCTTTTATCACTGTGTTAAAAAGATCTGATAAGTCAAACTATAACCAATCTTATTCTGATTAACACAGACTTGGCTTAAGCTAGTGCTCACATTTCACAAAAAAAAATTAAAACCAATAAACAAACTAAAAAAGCTTAGTAATACAGACTATTTTAAGCACTATATTGTGCTTGCCTATCTGTAGCTAATTCAGATACCAGGGTGTTTAAACAAATAACAGCTTTTTAAGTTCCTTACATTGCTTTTAGTGGTACTTGATAGCTGTCTTTTCTTACGAAGACGTGCAAATCTTATGTGGCATAATACCACTAAGAACATGATGCACTCTACTATCTCTTCATAAAAATATGAAAGAATTTTTTAAAGTAAAGGTATACAAGCCACCTGCTTTTTCTCAGGACTATTTTTGTATTTGATTAAGTAAAGTTTCTAAATGGAAATAGAGAATGCAAATAGATGCATAAAGACACTTTCTTCTTTTAAAGAATGTTCTCCAAGTCTAATCTGTGTGTCACTTCACTACTAAGTTTAGAAATAACAAATAAATACTAAAGAACGCCTACTGTAAGACAGCTGTCTTTTTAACCTGAAAGGGTTTGTACATGCATTCTACAGAAAGTGTTAGAACCATGAAACTATTCTAGGTCTGAAAGTGTGACAGTACAAGTTTACATACTTTTTAAAATCAGTAATTCAAAGTTGCTAGTTAGTGTCATTACACCTTAAAAACAAAGCACAAAAGCAGACTTCACTCAAAGACATGCAAAGTGTTAACATACAGGGACCAAGTATCTTGCAGATCTATCCTTAGCACTGTCATACTAAAGTAAAAGAAAATGAAACTAAAATCAAAATCATGATGCTAAAAAAATATGAAAATGTATACATGAAGGAATGCCACTTATCCAATCTAAAGTGCATTCTGAGGCTGGAACACTTAATAAAAACTAATTTTTCCCCAATAGCATCCCAATTTATGAAAAGTGATATAATTTTGGACAGCTATCTGAAAATTTCTTCTAGATATCAAATTATCACCAAAAACTCCATGGGTTTATATTTTATATCTGTTTATAAGTTATTTTAGGCCAGATTTAGTTACCATTATTTCATACTGTTTTCATATTATCTCAATAGTTACAATATATCCAATATTAACAATATATTAAATAAAATTTTATTGTTATAGACCTAATTTAGAGACTATGGTACCTTTTTGTGTTGCTAGAAGTATTACCATACAGGACCCATAGGACACTGTACCAGTTTTAACCAACTTAACTGTTTATTTTTTTAAAAACAGTTTTTGCCTTTAATTATTACCTACCAATAAGCAACCTTGCTATTGGCAAATGAAGACAGATTACTCAGATAATCATTATCATCCCAACACTTATACCTTTTATAACCATTAACAGTTCAACAGTCTACTAATAAATGGTTCAGCTGCCTAAACTAGGAATACCACAAAACATACAAAAATACCCATTACTGAAAAAGTAAAATTTCTGTATTTCAGCCTTGACTGTAGTATTAAAATCACAATATAAGAGAGAAAAATGTTTCCTGTAATAACTTTTAGCAACATCTTTGTACCTGTCAAGGTTGATGCACAACCTTTGTCACTTTATTTTATTTCTCTTTTGGGGATATTAGGAGAGAGAGACTGAAGAGATAAATTCTCTTCATACTTGTAAGTGTTCTGTCTTGAAGATAACTTCACTTAACACTTTCTTTGAGCCCTCAAATTTGCTATCACGAAGTGTTTGATTACAACAATAGTTGCACCAGTCCCATTAATACCATTTTCTATATGCATGCTTTCACCAAACTACTGCTTTGGTAAGTAGACACAGAAAACATTATAATGTGAACACAACACATTATAAATAAAAAGCATGCTCATTCCAGGTTGCACACCACAAGATTTCTCCTTTTGGAGGTACTTGCTCTGCTCCTGTGAGATGCACTGACATTCAAAGAACTCTTGAGAATGAAATTATAAGAATATATCAATATATGAAATAAACTTAAATTTAATTCTAACTGTTAATCTTTACTGAGTGAGACGAAATAACCAAGGCAGGCAAAGAAATTCTAGGTAAGCCCCCCTAAAATGACCTCAGTTATCTGCTCAGTTCAAACCCTCTTGTTTGGACAATGATCAATTACTTAATCTCCATCTTAGCATATTTAGTATGTCAAACAAGACAAGCACAGATCTGAGCAAACTTGTACTAGCTCACAAATTTCTAAGTGTAGCGCATAGCATATTCTACATGTTTTTTTCTGTTTACTGTTTGAAAAGTAGTCAATACTACCTGATTTAAATTATTTATTTGGTAAAAATACCTGTGTGACAAATTGCAGAAACGCTTAACACCAGGACTTGCGAGATATTACACAAAATTCAATTAATCAAAGACTAATGCTGAGACATCTTAGTAAGTAACAATCACTATTTTTTAAAGTCACACAGAGAAACAGCTCATTTCACATTCCAAAATAAACAAAACCAATCCTTTTATTTTAGTAATTTGTCCCTTTCCTGGCCTATATATCTAGATCAATAACAAGCTGATTTCTAGACAAATCTACTAAGACCAGGAAAATGTTTACATAACCACAATAAAACCATTCTTTAGCACTGTATATGACCTCAAGATGACACAGAAAAGGCTATACAATACAATAAATATTTCTGTTAGGAGTCTTTGGGATACCTTGCATCATTCAGGTAACTTTTTGCCACTAATGAATAATCCCACCTTCTAAAAGAAATAAAATCTTGCATCATACCAAACTCTTCTTCAAATTGTATCTTAAGGTACTACTACCTTTTCTTCCACAAATATTATGGAAACATAGTGTTACTCGATATGCAAAAAAGACAGAGAGATCGAAACATATAAAAATAAACTATTTTGTTAACATTGAAGGAAATGAAATACCAGATGAACTTCAACATTATATGTGACTTAAAATAATGATTAAAACTGCTAATGCTTGGGAGACTTAAAGCTTCATCCTCTCCATAAGAAAAGGAAACCCAAACTCAAATTTTTTTTGTTTGGTTTTTAAGGGCCATGATCAAAAAGAAAAAGTATAGTTTGAACACAAACCAAATATGAATGTTGACTGGACTGGTGAGAATACCTGGCCCTCTCTGAGTCTTCCTGAGAAAGAAAAATTGCAGAGTTATTTCATAGAGAAGAAAAAAAGAACCTGACACAGCACTAGGAAGCAAATATGAACAACATGCTGTTAGCACTTTTAATGATATGTGTTATTTTGAATAATCTGAGGCAAGGTGGAACTCATTCAAGTCCGAAGAACTGATTTCACCTGCTTTGGGTAAGAATGCCAATAAACTACATTAGGAGATGTAAATAAGGCAGGTTAATACAATTAATGATTAGTGTTCAGTAGTCAGTCTTCCTTATGATTAGTATATTAATGCAGAAAAAAGCACAAGATTTTTTAACTTAAGAAATTAAATTAAAATAAAAAAGAGCTTTACAAATCTATATTAGTAAGAAATGTACTACATTCGGTTTGTGAATATTTTATAAAGTTATTTTAGCCCTAGTAGAGATGATTATTCTCAGTTTCCTCATACCTATTTTATATTTTCTTCTCTATTATAGGAACAAAGCTTCTTAAGCAAACCGATCAGTTATAAGTTCTACAACTAGCTCTGCTCTGCGGTGACAGGGAAAATAATAAACCCAAGTTATAAAATCTGAGGGAGGATAACTAGCTAGGGCACCTTAGTATCTTTTGTTCTGTTGAAAGATGAGAGAACGCTCATTTTGGCTCACACAAAGGAATATGTGAGAAGAAGCAGGACAAAACCACAACCAGTTTAAAATTAAAATACTGAAATATTTCACATGCCATTAGCATCTCAAATTGTTACAGTATGTTAAGAATAACTTTCACTTTAAAACTATCCAATTTGAAGACTATAATAGGGCTCTAAAACCAGAAATCCTTCCTTCAATTACTCACTTCCTACAGTTTTAAACATGTCAAACTATTCTAAAGATTGTAAGCCAGTTATTTTTAGAGTTAAAAGCTTCACCTCCAGATCATAGATGGGTATCTAAAGACTAAAGCTGGCTTTCATACTGCTTATGGTCACATAACCACTGGATACATTAACTTGTTTAATATTATTTTATGACTATTCAATAGGCCTAGTTAAAATTCTGCAAGAAAATTTCCCAGGGGAGAGGGTAGGTTCATTTCATAATGATATTTTAGTCTTCCTCTCTATAATGTCTGTTTTGAAGTTTAAAAGGAGTATTTATGCTATTTAACTTTTCAACACAATATAGTCAGATCATTGCCAATTGTAAATGTACTTTGTGTCCCTGGTCTAAATGGACAAATACCTGTTAGTAATATCTGCGCCTGGCAAGCAGACAGTTTGCTATTTACATAAGATTCCTCTTAGTTCTTGGGTAACAAGTCTCTTCCTGACATTCAATCAGAAAACAGAAAGCCAGTGTTAAGTGTTCAGCATATTCAGGTCAAAGGATAAAGTATTACAGTACATATTGTAAACAGATAGCTGCCGCTGGTATCTATCAAGCTTGATTTCTAACAATTTAAGTTTGAATTATGCACATTATCTAATACAGAAATTAGGTCTCCCAGTCCATGAAAGGAGCGCACATCTGTTCAGAAATCTCCTAGCAGATGTGCCTCTTAGGAGTGCAAAAAGAAGGTGACATTCAGCTGAGTGGCATTAATTTTGACATGAGATTGCTCACAAATGCAATCTGCATTCCACATTTTGGAAACCCTTGTTCTCGAGCAAAAAAACCTTCAAATGTGCATTCCGCCAAGAAATAACAGAAATCTATGTTAGTCTTTATAAGTAACATGAGAACTAATATATATACAAATGCCAGTTTGGCAAAGAGACAACATAAAGTCAGCACAACTTTTGCAAATAAAATTCTAATGACAGTTTTAGGACTTCTCAACAGGGAAATTAACTGTCATTGTAGTTTTAACTATTTGAAATTATGGGTAATATCAGCATGTATTGCTTAAATCTTGGTGATCCAAACCTTCACACAGCGAACATTTTCCTAAAAACTCACATCTCCCATATACCTTTTTAAAAGGCACATGAAGTTTGTGAAAGGAACTCTCTAAAGAAACATTGCAATAATGTCGTTTCACTTCAGTGCCTGGTAAAATCATGGAAAAGATTATTCCAAGATGTCCTGGTTAGAACGGCTGGGACCAATTCATCCCTGGATGGGTGT